GTGTTTTTTTCTTCACTTCCTAAAACCAACATTGTGCAGTAGTGTTGTCCACACTTCCCTACTTGCACCGAAGCATTGTATGCATTCGGTGGGAGAGTCGCAGAGAGTTGCTGTGATGACACTCGGCTCAAACAGTGTATCCCCCCAGGTGAGCTACGCAATCTTTGTACGCTCATAGGCTGTATCAAGTGTCAATCATAGAAAACATGAACCCCCTAATAACTTTTAAAAATGGAGCTGTACAGAAAAAAGAGGACTTGAGCACAAACCAGTCTTACAATAACTACATGTCAACATCACAAGCAGGGGGGATAAAAAATTTGTATTCTGTGTAATTAATTTCTTAAGTTTGTCCACAGCTCCATAAGGATCGCTGGAGGGGGCGGGATTTATGACCTATACTGCAGCCCATCAACAGAGGGTGCCGTTCTCGGAGTGGCCTTACCTAGTGAGGAGGCAGACGCTGTCCATTCTATATACAGTCTATGAGCCAAACAGAGTCAACGGAGAACCAGCAACTATGCCCATATTTTGTGTACATTACGGATTCAAAAACTGACACAGTATTGAAACCAGATCACATAGGATAATATTTCACAAGTAAAATTGAAAAATAATTTTGGTTATTTGTGTGCTGGCATCCTGTATCATAGCTACATATCTGCAGTTTATAATAAACCAAACCATGTGAAAATCTGGTAAAAATTTAAGGAGTTATGATTAATATGGTTGGGCATTCCTACCTTCCTCAATAGAAATAAATGCACTGGGGGCCCATGGGGGACCCATCCGAGATGGCAGTCATTGTGATATGTGAGCTCCATTAGGCAACGTCAGTCTATGAGGCATCTACCTATATTGTCTATTGCTTCAGCTTCATCAACTCAACAGCCACAGACAGTATCATTAGCAGCCAACACCTCCAATGCTAGTGAATAGACTACATAGATTCAGCTGCAGCTAAGGGCAGACACCCTTCGATCATGTTATCCCCTCTGAGATACAACTTGCGCAAAAAAATTCAGGCAACGCGGCATACACCACAGTAAAAGCAACTCGACTCCTGATAAATCACAATCTATAACTACGGTATATAGCTCCTCAAGCATATCCAATACTAAAAATGTGTCATTAATTTAGTTTGAGACAGTAACTGAGGATGTTAAAAGGAAAGCAGCCTATCAGTATTACAATGGGCACATGTACCCTGTCAGCACACTTGTGTTTGTACACGTGGTCATGATTGGAGATAGAGAAAGAGAAAGGGTGAAGTGTAGAGCTGTTGTGAGGGTCCACTTCGGTGACAACACTCTCATTACTGAGCTGATGGAGAGGCTTTTATAGTCCCTATAATTTCACCTTGGACTGCTTCAGCTTTATTACCCTGTCAACAGAGCACAACAGACACATTCATGTATTACATAACATTTAACAGAAAGTGTTCAATCATCGTTGACAGTGTTTGTACAGAATAATGATGCTGTTTTTCATTATGATTCTACACTGTGCTGGGATAAACCAATTTGCTTATTCAAATGCTCTGCTACCACAGCGAAAAGGTGTTAGATGTGATCATTTCCAGTATCCAAAGCAAAGACGTACATATCCGAAATATCTATACAGTTTGCAAATCTCTTTCTTGATATGTGTTGCTGATGATTTTGTCTTAATTCGTCTATTGTGAATCAAAATCTTACTTTCAGGCACTGTGATTCCACTTGTTCGAGGACGTTCAAGTTGTTTAACAATGCTGCTTGAGCTGTTTTTTCACTTATGAATTACGGGTTGGCTTCATCTTCTGATCTGTTGTAATTGAGACTTTGGAGACTGTTATTGATCACATCCTAAGAGAAAGACTCTAGCACAGAACCTCTCAGCTCGTGTCTTGTGGAGCTTTCAACATGACCTGGCTCAGTTGTTTCAGCTGCGTTTTGAGGCTAGTATTGTACTAATTTGATGATCTTTTGCAGCTTTTTAAGAGCAACACCACACAAAATGCAGTACCTTTTTGACAACTTCCACACCCTCAGAGAGCTGAGGGGGACCTGTTGTAGAATCTACCTCCAAGTACTGCCATGTTGTAAGAGATGAGTTGTCTAAAGGTGCAGTTGAAGGTCTTTGTGGAAAGCCTTTACAAGAGGTTATAGTGCAAAGATAAAGACGAAATTTCCCCACAGGAGTTTATGGGAAAATTGGTACATTTGCTGTGGTTATGAAATGGAGTTTTGTTCTTATGGCTGCCTGCTACTTTCTTTTTGACAGTCCTTTACTGGTGACATTTTTTGTTTTGTTTTTGTTCAATAGAAAAAGTGTCATCTATGATGGATTACTGGATAGTTTGTTCCTTCTGTTTGCACAGTGTGTTCGACTGACAAGCTTGTGCTTTTGTAGAAAAACAGACAATGATGTACTCGTTAGTGTCACTTTTTTATTTCTGGGTTTTTTTCTAACATGTAAATGAATAAATTTCTCTCCAGTCATCATGTCATTTGCAGGAAACATAGATGGAAGTCAACTAGAGGTGTACTGGAAGTCAAGACCATAAATCTATTTTGGTTTTATCTCCAAGTTTATTGCTCTTTGTGGTCATAAGTCAGTCACGATTGGTGAACCCGGAGAGGCACCTGTCACGTGTAAGATTTGGGAACAGCTAACCCCGACCTCACATCACATGTGGATAAGACATTTTAAGAGCCATAAATCTGCACATAGTCCAGTCTATCAGCTACATGAGTTAAACAGTCAATACATTTTTAGCCAAATACGAGACAAATAGATTTAGCCCAAAAAGGAAAGGAAAGGAAATGGGAGCAGTGGTTTTTGGTAAACACTGATAGATTGAACAATCTTCCAAGAACTGAAAAACGCCTTTAAGACAATTGTATCACAGTGCCTGACAAAGTAACTGCAAATTGTGTGACATAATCCCACTCTAAAGGAAAACCAAGTCAATATTAAGTGGATATAGGCTGAGATAATGATCAGAGTGCTGTAGTCTCTGCTAAAAGCCCCATTGTCACAGTTTCCCTGAACTCCTCTAATGTTATACAACAAAGCATTTGACAGTGATGTATTCCATTACCAGATTTTAGATGTTGTAATCCAACAGCTAGTAACACGGTAATAAACAACAACTCTTCTGTTGTCGGACATAATCTGCAGCTTTTTTGATTTACTAAGTGCGGTGTACTTCTCAGTGGTAGTGGACAGGGTCATGATAACATTATATTATTCTCCTTTAACAGTCTGGATCAATTTTATGGTGCTGCAGTCATGGAATAATAGAAAAGAGAGCATGTTGGAGTTCAGCCAGTGATCAATCCAGCTCAACTGTAGCCCCATTGTAGTACCAGTGTGTAACAGAGAGTGAGATAGAAAGTTTTTATGAGGTAAAAAAAAAAAAGATTCATGGGTAAAAAAAAGGTTATCACTGTAAAGAAGAGATAAATGACTAGATCTTGCAGTCCAAAAAATCCAGTGACAAAAATAAGGAACAAAGCAAAACTCATTTCTAATCAAAAAACTGTGAAATCAGGAATGTCAGATGCATACAATGAAACGAAGAGAGAAACAGTCTATGCCAGGTGAAAACCATAAAGCAGTGAATTCTCAGTAATTTCCAGACAGCACAGCTGACTTCCTGTTTGCTCTCGAACTTCTACTGTTGCAGTTTCACCTGCATCCTGTTTATGCAGACTAAATGCAGATTAAGATTACTTTCCTTTTTCTATTCTATTTCACAGCTTTTAGAGAGAAATATGCTTACTAATTTGAGTTGTTTTCTTCAGTTTTGTGTGAGACACAATTCTAATAAAACTTTCACTAACCTTTGACCTTTAGGGGGTAAGTACAGGACAGTCTGATCATCAGGAGGTTGTCCAAGGGATGAAAAAATGACAACATTAATATTCTCTGTTGATCTAAGACTTTATGATGTTTTTAAAAAGAGTCTTTTTCTGAAACAAACATAATCCAAGTTTTAAAGAGAGACTCTGGTTAAAGAGAAAGTAATTTTTATGCTCACGAGCTCTGGCATGATTTAGATTCTTATAATTATACAGCGCTTGTACTGTATTTACCAGAACCAAAGTCAAGTGGATTTGAAAAAATGACACTTAGGGACAGAAATGTTTGAATTTTTCACTTTTGACCACTTATTCATCTCATATTAAATGATATACTTATCAGTGTACTTCAAAGTAAGGAGGTTATTTACATTCATACTTGCATGGCATGGTTAGATCATAAAGTAATTCAAAATGAGACCTTCCTACCTTTCTCTGAATGATGCTGTGGGAAAACTAGAGTTAAGTCTGGCAGATCATACGATCAAGTTTATGTCAGCTAAGGTGAGCTTTTTCCTGACGCAGCTTATTAATTTGATTTGCAAAATAATTTATAACTCATTCTTTGCAATGGCTGACTTTGGCTCTCTTTTTCTTAATACCAGTTCACTTCTCACTATGACTGTGTATGCTTTTGAACCCACACCTGTCCTTTATTTTTTGTCCTTTTTCCCTCTGCACTTTTACCACTTTCCTGAGTACTTTCTCCACTTCTCCACTTTGTGAGATAATGTCTCTTTGAGCATGTATAATGACCTGCTTTTGCATGAATCCCTTTCCTGCTGTGTATGATACCAGAATAGAACAATACATAACTAAAGGCAGGATGATGACGCAGGATGTGAATAGATTAAAAAGGAACAAGCAAATTTAACATACAAAGGTCCACATTAAAAGGTTCAGAAAAAGAGTAACGCATCACTGGTTACATCACCACAAGCACATCCAGTCTGCAGATAAGTCTGCAGGCTTAATGCATCTGGATTTACCAAAGCTGCCAATTTACCATAAAAAGAGCTGCTGCTATTTCTATCTCTGACTCTTTCAATCTTCCAGCACAGTACATAGTGCTGTTTGTGATATAACATGAAGTCCATCCTTGAGTACTGTAATATTGTACAACAGTGAGCGCCCGTCTGTTCTTGTATTGCAAGGCAATAGCAAGATAACCTTCTCACTGATTGCTGCTATTTTGGCTTTGTACTGTCTGCGTCTATGAATCACTCAGCAGGGTCAGAGCAATAAGAGAGAGAGAAGTTATCACAGTAATGGCACAGTGGGAAAAAAGTAAACTGCTCTGCTTTTAGCCCTAATGTTCACCCAAGTGTAACTCTAAAGCTGAATAAGGAGAGAACATGCAGCTGACAGAGGGGGATCTTATGTCCTTATGAAAACATTAGAGCAGACTCTGGCTTTTTTTTCACAACCATGAACAATATATTGATAAAATCTCCACTTAGTGTTTGCTGTATTATACTCTCAACCTGCTTGACACAATTCTATGAGGTTTTCATTTCAATGCAATTCATGAAAGACCTCAAGAGTGAAGATGTAGACCTTATATATCTTATAATCGCAGTCATTTACAAAAGATCGAATACATTATTCAACTGCTTGTGGATGGACAGAGAAAGAAGGACAGGGAGAAATGCAGAAAAAGCAGATAAATAGAAAGAAGTTACCTAACAATGTCTGATAATATTGACTCTGCCACTTAAAGTTCGGCCTTAGTATTGTCAGCTATGATATAGATAGCTTGTTGAAGACTAATAATGAAAACTATTCAAGTTTGAGTCAATCAGCTCTAGCATTAAGAGTATGATTTTATTAACAAGTGAGACTTCTAATCATTGTAAACATGCAGGTCCACAAGCAGGCCCGCTGTACTAACAGCACATAGAAACCTTTAAGACAGGGGGGAGAACAAGTAATGGGATGGTGTAATGGGTGGTCATGCAAAGTGATCAGGTTGTCCTGACATATCTTTTGCTGTCAATAATTAATTATTGTTGCTGGAGTTTTCACTCATCAGAATTGAGTGTTTAACACAGCTGAATAAAAAATAAAAAATATATTAACTCCCTGCAGATACATGGTTAGATTCAGTTTCCCGAGAGTGATGAATGAATGCATTTAAAATGCAGGCTGTGTATGTAGGCCAGTTGCAGCACAAACAACCATTATACTCTCATTAAAGACATGGAGATAAAAAAGAAAATAATGAGACAGAAACTAGTCACGTGCCAGTTAACCAGCAGCACCTTACAGTAGATGGGTTCAGCTGGTCACATCTGTTTGACTCTGGAATGAGGACAACAAATATGAGAGCTGCAGAGGAGAAGAGGTTGTCAGCCAGTCCACAGAGTTGCACTCTTAAGTATTGTTAAAAACAAATGCAACATTGTAGTAAACTTATATGGATTCCCTTCACAGTTGCTTCACTGTCTGTATTGTGGAAGCATATAAACTAGCTAATTGTGCCGTTTAATAGAGGAAGAAAAGGGACAAGGAGGCTGCAGAGGGATGGCTGCTGTCAAACTGCACAGCTGCACTCACAGAAGACACTCACGCAGCGAGAGAAGAAACTTGCACAGTACTTCCCTCTAAAGGATTAAAAGTATTTATTCTGAGACCAGGGGGAGACACCATGCTAATGATGGAGAGAGGAAGCCCGGAGCGTTTCCTTTGTAGACAAAGCAGACGCACTGTGAGTGTTAGTTTCCTCTGGGTCTTCCTCTGCGGCATTTTAAAGCTTTTGATTTACATCAGACTTCACAAGAGCACAATTAAGTCATGGACAGACACAAAGTCATGGCTCTGATTTTAATGATACCGCCTCTTCCATCATTAAAGTTGTCAATGGATTAATATTAGGAAACTTTGTCTGTTTTTCACCATGTATTGTCCCAATAAGATGACTAAATTTTCATAAAAATCCTTTCACACCGAGTCCATTTTAATACTGATTCCCTGTAGAAACTTTGTCAGGGTGCAGACACCAAAAATTAAGTACAACACAGGCTTAACAAGGGAGCATATTGAGCCTTTCAATGTGAAATGTATTTTTAAACCACATAAAACTTTTAATGATAGAGGTGACTTCCCATTCAAACACCTACAATTTGTTACATAACAACCCTGAATGTTAAACTCAAGAAGAGACAAGTTGACATAAATGATTCACTCTGTTGGTGAGTCTTGGGTAACACATTGGGGTTAACTATGTTCACTGTGTGCTGGAAGTTTTTTCATTGTTTGGGTTCTGCTGACATCTGGTGGACAATATCAAGATTTTGTGTCCATGAGGGAAACTGCATTTTTTTTTTAATTTAAAGGCTTTTGTTGTACAAGGATGCATTTATAGGCTATATTTGTTTGTGAAGACCAGATGTTGCTGTTGGCCAAGCAACAGAATATTCTAGTGTTGAGGAAAAGGATGGAATCACAAAGCTTTCAGAGAAGGAGATGTCTCCAAATTACTGCTCAGGCAATAACTTTTTGGATGATTTTTTTTCATAAAGTAACCTAAGTGATTTTCTCGTTGTTTTATTTTTCTGTAATTTTTATTTTTAAAAGTATTCTAACACACAGTACATTCAGTGTTCACATATCCTGAAAGACTTTTGTGAGTTTGTGACAAGTTTAGCATACACTTTTTTGTGAAACAATATGATGCTCTGGATGTTACTGAGAAGTATTATGCTTTTAATTTTGCTGGTGTGTTGCATGAAGTTAAAGTAAAGTTCTTTGAAACTTGTAATGGGTCATGAGTATGATGAATGTTTGATTATAGTAGTTGTGCTGCAGTGATGGGACACAATATGACAATTTTCCATGGGGTCAATAATTCCTTGTGACGCCTCCTTCATCCCTCACACGCCCACAGATCAACGCCTTCTGGTAAGAGACAGCTCAACCGGCTACGACACATGATCATTTGCACCACAGGCATATTATAATATGACACAACTCTGTAAACAAACTGGCCTCCCAGCAACAGGATGTAAACCAGGCAATGGAAAAAGTGGAAGTAACATACCCATGATATTTTTAGTGTCTGACCACAACACTCTGCCTGCTTTAGGACTCCAGGTAACCCAAAACATCATCTCAGTGTTAAGAATCTATTTTTGTCCTGATAGATTTAGTTCATTTGAATCATTCCATCTTTTTCTTCATATTTAGCATTAACTTTGTACCTCTTACATCCTCTTTATTTAGCAGTTGTGTGTTTTTTAACTGTCAATCTCCATTAATTTCACTTCAGTGCACTACTGTTACAAAAAGCCATGGAAAATGACCAACTTTTGCTACACCCTACTAAAACTTGTGGCTCATGTTTCACTCATTAACTCACTGTTTGGCCCTGAGTCACCCCTGAGTGAGAAGTTTCTCCCCTCCTACGTCACAGGAGGGGAAGCAGAAGATACTAAAGATAGATCTCAGCGTGATACACAAGGATCTCCCTAACAGCTGGGGAACTTCCTGCAGGTCAGCTGATGTGTAATGGCAACCAAGTAGTACACTTCACGACCCTCTGCTAAAGTAGCTGTAGGAAGTTGGAATGGCATAGTGGAAGTTTATCATTATGACGCTATATATTTATTTATAACTCATTTTATGAAAGGGCACTGGTGTGACGTAGAGGAAGAGACTTAAATCTTATCTAAAGCAGAAAATTTCTGATCAAGGGTTTGTTCCTTAATGCAAAATTCCTCTAAATATACAGTGCCTTGAAAAAGTACTCATACCCCTTTAACTTTTTCACATTTTGCCACTCTACAACCACAAACTTAAAAGTATTTTATTGAAATTTTTTGTCATAGACCAACACAAAGTAACACATAATTATGAAGTGGAATGAAAATGATATATGGTTTAAAAAAATAATAAACAAATAAAAATCTGAAAAGTGTGGTGTGCATTTGTATTCAGTCCCCTGTACTCTGATACCCCTAAAAATAAAATGCAGTGTAATCAGCTGCCTTCAGAAGTCACCTAATTAGTTAATAGAGTCCACCTGTGTGTAATTTAGTATCAGCATAAATACAACTGAATACAAATGCACACCACACTTTTCAGACTTTTACTTGTTTAACATTTTTTGAAAACCATGTATCATTTTCGTTCCACTTCACAATTATGTGCTACTTTGTCTTGGTCTATGACAAAAAATCTCAAAAAAATGCTTTTAAGTTTGTGGTTGTAGAGCGACAAAATGTGAAAAAGTTCAAGGGGTATGAATACTTTTTCAAGGCACTCTTTGTACCTTAATGACTACAGGAATGGAGGACTTTCTAATGTCACAGTGTGTGTACTTGAAACTTTGGCGCCCTCTAGGGATAGATTCAAGGTGAGACACTGTAACTGATTGTATTGAAAATTTCATTTAGTAAGAGTCCCAATGCAGGTAATGGGACATATAAAAGCTTCTAGTTTTACACTGATTGGTTTATTTATACTCAAGAGAATCAGGAAAGAAAAAAAATCCTAATGGAATGCAAATGTGCATTGCAGGTTTTGGAATACCCGTAATGTTGGTTAAACTATTTATTTTTCTAGGATAGTGGCTACAGCTCTTGGTCCTACAATCTTTTTTTTTAAACTATGGTCATTAGCTGTTGTTGTTTTTAGTTTATTAGTTCAAGGGAAGCACGCTTAACACCAGAGAACAAGTTGCTTTAACACAATTAGCTTAAGAGACTGTTGTCAGCAAGCTGACCATTGGTGGCTGCAGATCAATGGTCATCTCCCAGTCAAAAAGATGGCAGTTTGTGGCTTGTGCACTCAACATGTCTGATATTCTTGGAAAAACACTGAACCTCAAAATGCTCCAAAAGAGCTACAAATGCTTGTTCAATCATGGAATGAGTCTGCACTGGTGCTGGCTTTCTGAACACTGGAAAACTTTTGATTACTTGTCTTGGAGATGCTCCAAAAAATAAATTGTTTGGATCCAAACAGTTTGGTTCTTTGGTTTCAATGGTCATGTTTCGTTAAAAAAGCTGAGTCAAACCCACCACCACGAAACCTAGTTAGATGAGATTTGTATGGAAGAGCAACTGTCTAAAAAGCCCTGAACCCCACTTAACGTCTTTATAAGTATAAAACACTGATTGTGGGCCAGTCTGGCTCATCTGAAGTAGGTGCCTGACCTCAGAACTGATCCCTTAATAATAATAATAATATCTTACATTTATATAGCGCCTTTCAGGATACCCAAGGCGCTTAACAACACATTACAAAAACTAAATACCAAAAGCCTGGATAAACAAGTGTCGCTTCAGAGCAGACTTGAAAGAGTCAAGAGTCTGTGCTTGGCGAATCTCAGAGGGGAGAGAGTTCCAGAGAGGAGGGGCAGCCACACTGAAGGCTCTGTCACCAAGGGATCGCCTTTTCCCATAGCGGACAGTGAGGAGCCCAAGGTCTGCAGACCGCAGAGTACGCGCCGGGATGTAGTCCTTGAGGAGGTCAGAGAGATAGTATGGGGCTAGGGCATGGAGAGCTTTGTAGGTGAGCAGGAGGAGTTTGTAGATGATGCGATATTTGATGGGAAGCCAGTGGAGGCGTTTGAGGGTGGGGGTGATGTGCTGCCAAGGTTTGGTCTGGGTGAGCACTCTGGCAGCTGAATTTTGAACGTACTGCAGACGGTCCAAGTCTTTTTTAGGAAGTCCGAACAGGACACCGTTGCAGTAGTCTAAGCGGGAGGATACAAAGGCATGGATGAGGGTTTCTGCAACAGGGTCTGAGAGGGATGAGCGGAGTCTGGAGATGGTCTTAAGGTGGAAAAAGGCTGACTTAGTTACGGATTTAATGTGGGTTTGGAATGAGAGGGCAGAGTCCAAGATGACGCCCAGGTTGCGCACCTCGGAGGATGGGGAGATGGAGTAGCCGTCAATATGGAGGAGGAAATCACCCATTCTGCGAAGCAGTGCCTTGGGAGCCATGAGCAAGAGCTCTGTTTTCTTGGCGTTGAGTTGGAGTAGGTTGGTGGTCAGCCAGGTTTTTATTTCTTGTAGGCAGTTGACAATGGGGAGTGGAGGGAGCAGAGTAGTGGGTGTGGTGCTGAGATATATCTGTGTGTCATCGGCGTAACAGTGGAAATCAAGGCCGTGCTTACGGATGATCTGGCCGAGCGGGAGCATGTATATGGTGAAGAGGAGTGGACCAAGTACGGAACCCTGTGGGACTCCGTGTGGAACTGGGGCTGGGTGGGACTTGGAACCATGCATGGAGACAAACTGCAGGCGGTTGGACAGATAGGAGTGAAACCAGGAGAGCGCAGATCCAGTGATATTGAGGTGTGTAGAGAGGCGGTTGAGGAGGATGGAGTGAGAGACTGTGTCAAAGGCTGCAGAGAGGTACAACAGGATGAGGATGCTGATGTTGCCGGAGTCAGCCGCGATGAGGAGGTCATTGATGATTTTAACCAAGGCGGTCTCAGTGCTGTGGTGCGCTCTGTAGGCAGACTGGAAGGGTTCGGAGAGTTTGTGGTCGGACATGTGCTGCTGGAGCTGCACGGCGACTACTCTTTCCAGGGTCTTGCTGAGGAACTTGGCTGAATAGGACATCATTTTCTACAGACACACTCCTTAATCCTGTGGAAAGCCCTACTAGAGAAGTAACAGCTGTTATAAAACAGAGGTCAGACCCCATCTTGAAACACATGTCAAATTTAAAGTCACTCTGCCAATATATTGTAGGTAAGACAGACAAGTGTCCTCTGTCTTTTAGTCATATTGTCGTGTTTTAACTGAAACTTGTTACATTCGAAATTTTTAATCCATTGCAAACATTGTAGCTGTTATTGTTCACAAAGTTTTTAAGCCATCTTATTTTCTCAACAACCTTATAAGAAATCTATAATCAAATCATGTATTATTTATACATATATATCTAAACATATCAATCAAAATAATAACTTCACTATATTAAGTCAATGTAAACCTGGACCAGTCCATCTGTATGTTATTGCAGATCTACTATAAACAGACACTAGGGTCTTCTGCAGCTGAATAACATGTCTCTCCCAGAAGGTAAGTGTTTATACATGCCATCCCAATAAGTTTTGTACCTCCAACAAAAAGTTGTAAGGCCTTTTCAAACAACATGCACAAACACACACAATTTCATGAGCAAGCACACACACACACACACACACACACACACACACACACACACACACACACACACACACACACACACACACCCCTCCCTCACACTCCCCATGGCCTCTCTTCATAGAGGGGCAATAAATACTTTGTAGCTGTGCCAACAGACAGACTCTTTTTCAGGGTGACAGTGCAGCTGTAACAGAAACCAGTAAACAGTAATTAAAAATATAAAAAATTTAATCAAATAAAATAATAAAAAAAAATATATATATATTTTTTTTTTTTGCATAACAACACATTTTAGTCTCATTTTTATCTTTTTCTTTATGTAGACAGGGGTGTTTCTTTTGCAGCATCTTAAACATTAGTGATGTTATAGTGTTTATTTTACAGTAACAGACACTACATCCAATAAATATATAAATAAATAATAAAGGTACATTAAATCTCCCAGAAACCTACTAACACCCTTGTAGGAATTTGTTTTTTATAGATATGAGCACATTTGAACTGGCACACACACAAAGAGCACATACAAAAAAGGGAAGTGAATGCTGGCTGAAAGCTAAATTGAAACATCTTGCAGTCATGATGCCATGACACGCCATTGTTTCGAGGCCCAAAGAGTTGTAGCAGGAGAAAGGGGGAAGCAAGAGAAGATGGGAGAACAAGGAGAGAAAAGGAGGATCCAGCCACCCATTGGCAGGAGGAAGCGAGAGGAGACTGATATTAGGCGGTCTGTTTTGAAAACTCGTCAACACCCCTTTGCCTACACCCTCTCTGTCTCTCTCTCTCTGTCTGTGTGTGTGTGTCTCTGTCTCTCTCTCTCTGCGTCATTCTTCGTGCCTCACTCGCCCTTCTTCGAGCCTCCAGCCTCCCTCTCTCTTTCTCCCCCCTCCTCCTTCCTCCTGCATCCCCCCTCCCTGGGAAAACAGGGACAACAAATTAGCCTTCTTTTCTCGGTAGGGCCCAGGGAGGAGGACACTTGGACAGCCCTCAGAGTGTCCGCCTGGAGTTCCCATGGACCCCTCTTGCCCCTTCCCCTTTCAGCCTGCGAGGAAGCAGTCATTGTGCCAGCACCTGTCTCTGAGGAAATTGGTAAAAGTGATGGCTTTGTTAGCGGTCTCCATGGTGACTAGGAGAAAAGAGCGGGGCCAGCTAGCAGGGTTTGGGGTAGAGACTGGTAGGTGGGTGGAGGGTAAGGAGAAAGAGTGCAAGAAGAAGGGAGGGAGTTAAGGGGGTCTTACAATGGAGGAGCAGTTGCATCGCTTTGGCTTTGCCAGGGATCTACGTGAAGATGCTGTGACTTGCTGTATGTGTGTGTGTGTGTGTGTGTGCTTCATAAGGGGGGTGTATTGTATGTGTGTTAATGCAGACCTTGTAAGTAGCAACCAGTGTAGGAATGTGCACAGACAATCTCTCGGGCTCTCTCTCTGCTCCCTCTCCCTCGTCCCCGTGGGTGACACTGTGACATCCACCAGTGAAGCACGGCAGCAGTTTGAATGGGCTGAAAGCAACAAGGTCAGTCCCATCATGTCCACAGAATCTCCCCCTCGGAGCACGCAGAGCACACTTTTGATAATTAAGCAGCAAGTTTCTCTACTGTGGACCTGCTTTAGCATTCATGCAAGGAGTAAATGGAACATTTAGAGGGACCTTTTTTCATTTAAGTCTGAGCCGGGGCATTTTCGGTCAGTCCATTTTGGAGACATGAACCTATGATATTATTGTGTTAATGTGTATAATGTTGACTAAAAATACTCAGGTGGAATTTTGCAGTTTTGCTGAAAATGCATATAAGGCTCATGGATCTGTGTTTACCTTAATTTCAAAAGAATTGACCAAAAAAGTCTCATATCTACGGAGACTCACAAGGAACCATATCATCGTACAATTACATTAACTAATTAGCAATGTTTCATTTAGGCGCAATTTTATAGGATGCACATTTCGCATATTTTTCACTGATTAAGTAATTTCTAATATTACAAAGAGACAAGACTTCAAGTCATATGAGTTTTTAAATCATACACTTAGCTGCAATACATCCACCAGACCAGCAGATGGTGCTCATCCACTGGCTCTAGCAGGCAAATGATATAGATATTTCTTAACATTCACAAGTGGGATTAAAAAGGATATAATACATCCAAGTTCAATGTCTTTGAAATATAAAACAGACAACATCTAACTGGTAACTGATATCTATAGTTTATCAAATAAAGCATCAAAGATGGACCACTGTCTCTATCATATGCTTAGTCATGCTTATGAGTGGCCTTCATCTAACTTCTTAAAGTTCCTGTGAGGAGTTCTTGGGTGGTCATAAAACTGACTGCAATTAAAAGCAATCCCTCTATATGACCTACAAAATAAAGATGAACATTTTTAGTGGGCTGCCAGCTGTAGTGATTAACAGCACACTACAGATATAAAGTAGCTATTTTTCGGGGGGGTGAAGGTTCAAAATTATTTGGAGATAAAACAATATGTACAGGACCAAATCTACAAACAGTTTTGTCCAGAGTGAGCACCAAAATCACCACAAATCCAAAGTTCCTTACAGGAGCTTTAAGTATATCAAAGTAAAACACTATCATATAAAAGCCCATGAGAAACTTCATGAATGTCTTACATCAGGAATACACCACAAAGGAGTGTGTTTGTGCATGTGAGGGCGAGACCACATGGTTGATGTGTTCAAAAAAGCTCAATATCATGATGAGACACAAACATACCAACTATATTGGCGGTCAAGGCCAGGAGGCTGCTGTAAATCACAAAACCACAACAGTGAATTTGAATTTCCATTCACTGAAGGTCTGTGGTTGTTTATAGTGTCTCTTATGGGCAATATCGGGAGTCATATTTTATGTCCTTGTGTTTTCTGTGATGTTGGGTATGGGACAGGGATAATAACAGAGAGAAGAGTAACTTTTGATCACATCACAGTCAGAAGATTCAATTTTGCAGACAATAACTACAGGAAGTGTGATGAGACATCTGCTTGATTGCGCATTCATCTTTTTTAACCAAATATGACAAAACAATCTTGATAGGCATACAAGAGTTTAACTTTCCCTGTTAAAACGTGAGGTTGGTGATCCTTTAGTTATCGTTTCTATTTTGTATCAAGAGATGGTATGGATCTAATGCCTGCGGTTTGCACATTAGGCTTGTATGAAGATAAGAGGTAGGCATCCCTTTAATCCAGTTGGTCACTGAGTGTGAGTAACATTAAAAGCAGCAGGACCATATGAGGTAGGTTCAGCTCTGTAAGTGTCGGATGAATTTGAGTTTAGCAGTAATAATATGTTGATTTGGAGTCAGGACAATGTTTACAATGTGCTCTACCTCAGTTTAATGTGCATCTCAGCACTTTAACAAATAAGCATAATGGTAATGAGCTCTGACACAAAGTTATATAGACTTATGGGGATATTTGAAGGTGTTCTGGGTACCAAAGTAGTGATCGTTTACCTCTGGGTAGTTTTTCAAACCATCCAAAAAGATATGAAGATGAATTATCTAAAGGTGGCATGCAAGTCAGGTTCATTCTTATAGTTTTCAAATCATAGTCCAGTGTAAGGAGGCTGAAAAATGGTAGCTCCTCATAGGGAGGCCCCTGTTAGGGCTGAAACCCAGTATCTACTCACTGCAAGGAAGCAATGCCAAATAACACACCCAAGATGTGTCTATATCAGTTCACTTCTGCTCAGTGCAGTATGAACTGACTTTTTTTTTTTACATTTCCACTTTCAATTACTGATCATAATCATGCTGTTTTGGCACCTTGGGTACCAGGCATGCCCATCCAACTACATGCAAGCAAGTTCAGAGCTATCAGTATTAAACTTACTAAACCAATCCTGACTGCTTGTTAGAAATGCATCACTTTGCAGGGTTTTTATATTCAGGTTTAATACTTTCTAGTCTTTTTTGGTGGTTCAGATGTGTGGTCTGCATTGGGGTGGAAGGGAAACTTAACATTCAAAGGCTTGAGTGGACCCCCTGCAGGGATTCAAAATCAGTATGTCCTCAATGAAAGACAGTGATAACCATCACAGTATGGTGTTGTTCCTTCATTTGTGCAGATTTAGCTTCTTTCCAGTGCACTATTGTGATTCAAAACAATAGACTAGACTGCAGTGGTTGGAGGACAGAAAATTAAAAAGTATGGTCCAAATTGCAGTGTTATGTGGAAACAGACAATCCATCAAAACAAGTGAGCCCATGCAGGCATTCAAATCTGAGACCTGCTTGAGGCCTTAGGTAGTAACTTCAGCTTCCCCTTAAACTCAGTGTCACTATATGTGTACTTTGTAATACTCCTGTTTGTTGGATAATCTTATATTACAGATTCTGCTTTCAATAATACTTGTTTTAAAAAGTTCTGTATTTGATTCCAGTTATTACACATGGCACCATTATCCTAAGCCCGTTACTTACCTTACCTCAGAAATGGTCTCATTTTCCTAAAACAGCTAAATACCATAACATTTTTTTAATTCCATGTTGTTCTATCCTCTTGTCCCTTTTTGATTTCAAAGCACGGAAGTTTTAAATGCTTACATGGGTGTTCCTCAGTTCATCATTAACTTCCCCCCACCCCCACCACACACAAACACACATGCATGCCCTCACACAAAGACATCCCTGACACGCACACCCGCCAGCAGACAAGCACCTTAACCTCAAACCTCATGCTAGGTGCAGACAGGACCACACATACTGTCTCACACACAAAATGTTTGGAATGCTATAAACATTTATTTCGGTTGAAAAGAAGATTTTATGTGTGTGCGTGTGTCCCTCGCTGTATGCGTGCGTGCCCTCTGTTTTTGCTGAAGCGGAGGAAAGTTAAACTACAGATGAAGGCCACCAGATAGCGAGAAATCAAACATGACCAAATATTTGAGGTGTGCTACCCATAAAAAGGGACAAGTTTATACATAAAAAGAGCTAGTGAATGCTGAGTCATTGCTAACAGATCAAACAATTTAAAAGGGAGGAGAGATTATTGACCCACCTAAAACAAAATGTGCCGCCTTTTTTACACCTTTTATTCAATAAAGTGGTTCGAAAACAATTTCTAGCAGTTCAAATAAATAGTTAGAGTTGAGTATCTTAAGATCCTTCAGGTAGTTTTCAGCTTGCGTTGACTTTTTCACTCCCTTTGGGCAAATATGTATTTCTTATTACTTTGCTGATTTCATCCTGGGAAGTATTTTTAGCAAAAAATAATCTCTTTCTGCTTATTTTCAATGGTCAAATGTGCCATTGCTTGTGAATATTCACTGTTGAAAATGTTAACACTGTTTCCTTGGTGTGCCATATTTGTTTGGTCCTCAACCTACTCACCAGCAGTGGTTTTAGGCATTAAACATTACTATATATAATTATCAATCTTAATGCTGATGGTCTGATTTGCTTTTGTAGGCCAAAAGTGGGCTATTCTACTAACTGTAATCTGTTAAATAACTAATCAAAACCTCCTCACATGAGCTTTGAGAAATTTTTAATCTGCAAAATTAAATAAACTAAAATATTCACGAACTGATAATTTGGGGAAATGATTTTTTTTGTCTATTATTACATCAAATTGTAAAAGAAATTCACAGAGCAGACATGATTATATCAATTTTCAGTAAAGCTTCAAGGATCTTCTCTGAAAAATTCTTGGAAATAAAATATTAAGAATATAATTCCCCATAGCACGGACATTCAAAATTGACTCTGTTGAGCACAGGTATGTAAAAAAAAGTACTTGCATGTGTGTGTGTGTGTGTGTGTGTGTGTGTGTGTGTGTGTGTGTGTGTGTGTGTGTGTGTGTGTGTGTGTGTGTGTGTGTGAGTGAGGGATCTAAATGTTAGCTCTGTGTGGCTGAGGGACCTCCCAGTAAGTGGACAGTACTTAAGGCAGAATGTGACCAAAGGAGGAGACACACAGACACACACAGACACACACAGACGCACACACACACACACACACACTTATAAACTTAAATTTAAGTAACATATTTTCTGATGTTAATGTTGTACATTTCATACATTTGTCCTTTTTGCTATACTCATTTTCTAAAATACATGAATAAGGCAATAGCAACCCTGAAAGACCGTTGCACCTGACATGGTGACTGGTTCGAAATAACTCTCATTGTCAGAAGACAACCCATATTCATCCCCCTACATTACGCTTGACATTGCTTTTGAGTAGGCTAATGTCCTTTTCTCCAAAAATCTCTAATTTCTCATGAAATAGAATACCCCGGCTTGAATGATATGGACAGATAAAATAAAAAATGTGAGGATAGTTGATAACCAATCTGGTATTTTATATAGTTTTCTTCAATTTTAATGAAACCCCAAATCGATGGAACCATGAAGTGTTTTTGATTGTCTAATGGAATATGCACTTTAAAGTTGTATCCTACCTTTCTGTCCTGGTTTAAGACCACACTGGCGTAATCACTGTATTATTTAACTTAATAATATGACCAAAAGTTAAGATAATTTCTCAATATTAATTTGATCCACATATCAACATATCCACTGGTAAATCAAAAGCTTTGCCTTCTAGCTCAGTTCTCTCTTCACCATGACAGTCCAGTGCAACGCATACAGTACTGCTGAGGCAGCACTTATCAGCTGGTCAATCCATTTCACCCTCACTCATGACCAAGATACTTGAACTCCCTCACTTGTCCCCACCCAGAAAGAGCGGTCCACTGTTGGAGGTACTGACTCTCATCCCAGCTCTTTTGTACTTAGCTGCAAACCGCACTAATGCCTGCTGGAGGTCCCAGCCTGAAGAAGCCAACAAAACCACATCATCTGCAAAAGAGCAGAGATGGAATTCTGAGCCTCCCAAACTGGAAACCCTCTTCCCCCAGAGCTGCACCACTCAATCCTGTCCATAAAAATCATGAGCAGAATCTTTAAAAAGTGGTAACCCTGGTGGAGGCCAACGTGAATTGAAAACATGTCTAACTTTATGCAGAGGATGTGGACACAGCTCTCACTTTGGTCATAAAGGGATCAAATGGTTCACAGTAATGGACCTCATATTGCTATGGTACTCCCCACAAAATCCCACCATCCAGCAGCCTTGCAAGGTTAAGGAATCATTTCACCGTACCACAACCAGGGCATCAAGTTTGATGATTGGACAGAGCCTCTTCTTCAGCACCCTGAAGTTAATCAGGATCAAAAGACACATCAACAAACACAGCTCCATACAAAGTCTGACAGACCAACGGGAGAGAAAAAAAGTGTCAGTGCTTTGTGTAGAGGGAGTTGCCCAATTTTTCTCTCTCCAGCTCCTCTAAAACCCAGCCCAGATATTTCCTGGTTCTGACACCAGCTTGGCTCTCAGATCACTTCTGCATGTGGGGAAAGAAAAAAGGGAGAAATCACTCCAACTCAATTCCACTTAAGAAAAGAATGACTTACAAAGTCTAGTGACGCAAGCTGGTGAACTTCAGGAAGAAAAAATGTAATGCATTTGTGACGGTCCCTGGAAAAGATGCTTCATAACATGGATGTGTAGGTTAATGATGTTTAATGTTCTGCATCTGCAGCTGGGTTGGCGAGACAATGATGATGATGAACGAATCAGAGTTTTGATTGCAAAAATGGTGACATATAAACATACATTCAAATTACAGGATGATTAACTCATTTCATGTCGAAATCCACCTATGAATTTTTTTTTGAGCCAAAAGAAATCATGTAAGGTATCCGTGTGTGTGTGTGTGTGTGTGTGTGTGTGTGTGTGTGTGTGTGTGTGTGTGTGTGTGTGTGTGTGTTAATCTCTGAGGCCGGGTGAATGAGTGTGTTTCGGTTTCCACAGCAGTGATGAGGGCCCCACAGTGCACTGGCCCTGGAAGTGGCGCAAACACAAACCACAGTATAAGTATGCCTGTGTGTGCGCGTGAGCATGTGTATTTGCGAGACCACATTTCAGTGTGTATGTGTGTGTGTGCTGTAGTGCCCACCTCTAAACTCCAAGGGGGACTTAACACATACATTCATGTCCACGCACACACACACTCACTCTGGCCTTGGCTCCGCTCTCTCCTTGGGTGGTCTACGCTGCAAATGTTTATGATCTAAACCAAGCTAATCCAACTGGCTTGTTTCAGTGAATTTAGAATGATTTACAAGACGCAGCAACAGGGCCAAAGAAGGAGGAGGTGGAAATCAGAGGAAATCTCAGGGCTCCGTTTCAAGTCTCTCCGTGACCTGCACACTTGTCTCTAGTCCCGAGTCCGAGCTGTGTGTACTCTATGTCTGTCTTTTTTATTTGCCACCCACTCATCCTTTGACTGATGTCTTTATTTGACAAATTAGCCGGGCTTTAACAGTATGCACGTACAAGGGATCAGTGAGGTTTCAATTGACTGCAAAGGCTCTTACTCTCAGTCTCTGCTTGTTTTCTTCTTTTGTAATTTCCAGGGAAAAGAAGAGACAAAAATCTCGATATAATCCTTCTTCTGTCTATCACACATGTACTTCTATTCTCACAGAACCCAACTGAAGAAAGAGAAAGCAAAAGTAGTGTTTCCTTAGATAAAAGGTGTACAGTAGAGCATTAATCCACTTTTTGTATCTTTACAGACACATTTGGTGTCCTGTCAAGTGTGCTGTCAGTGACACCAGTGAGAAGTGGCTCACTTACATTGTGTGGAATGTCCTGCACACATCAGCACTCAGTGGTTAACCAGTCAGGCAATAATCTCTGTGAGTGTCAGAGGTTTGGTTGACTTTTATTGCAGCGTCCCCTTTTTCTTGCCAGATGCCCATTTTTATGAAGAGTGGGATGCCACCTGCACACTGACAACACCTTGTAAACTGGGCAGGGAAGAGGAGAAACAGGAAAACATAAAAGAACATTTTTAGCCCGGGATTATTGAGAGCTTAAATCTGAAAGCGAGACAAAACTGATTTTAGAAGTTAACTGTCAATTTATTTGTCAATTTGACTACTTTTACTTTATATAGGTTATGTTAAATTGTTATGTTTCTGATGTTCTGTATTTTTTTATACTTTATTTCTAAAATACCACCGAAGCAACTTTAAACTCCATCTGATCTCACTTCTTTTCAGTTAATCAGCCTCACACCAGATGGCTTGAGTTGTGTTTTCAGCGATATCTTCACAGAAAATCTGTGACTTTTCAGATAGAGGGACTCCCTCAAAAATGAGATGCTGCATCTCGAGGGGCTATCCTTAATAAATTGAAATTAAATTCACATGGAAATCTAAAACATCTGAAATATACCAGGTAAGAAAGATTTAAATAAACATATGTCCTGCTAGACCCCATGATTAATTAAATGATTAAAATAGTACTTTTTTTAAAACACAAATCAGTGTATGCCCTAGGTCAAATTTTGTAAGAATAAAAAGGGGTTAATATCGTTATCCCTAAAATATTGTCTCTGACTTCACTTCATCCTCATCTAAAAAGACAAAAATATTCTTCTCTTCTGCTCTGTGTTTGCACATCTACTCTTTTCTTCTCATTACTTTCTCTGTCAACCTGTCTCACTTGTCTATTTCCACTTCCTCTCTCTTCCTCTTCCAGTGTTTCATCTCCCAGGCCTCCTTCTTCCATTATTATCGTATTTCATTAGTGTGGCATTCAGGCAGCAGCAGACAGGCTTGTTTGTCTCTGTCTCTTTTTTTTTTCTCTTCCCTCCTTTCCCCTCGCTTTTTGGTTTTTAGCAAGCAGCAATGAGCAGCGAAGCTCATCTCCAGGCCAGAGCAAACAAAACCAAAGCCACATTCCCCAAGCTCAATTTGCTGTTGCGTCTCAGCTCTGTGAATTGGGAGTTTTCAAGCTTGAAGTCTGGAGGAGTAGGCTGGGTGGCTGCTGGCTGATCATCAGCTCACACCACCTCTTACTTAAATTATAGTTAAAAGGTAAAAAATACAGGTATATTCAAGCTCTTCATTTGTTGTTATCAGTTAAATTAAAACCTTAACTGATTATTTTTAAGAAGAAATAAAAGGTCATTTGAAAATGGATGATAACCTATACAAAAACTCATTTGGCTGGAGTGGGCTGAACACTACTGTAGAGTTCCTCAATGCCAGAATACATTTCATGTGAATTTACAAGTAATTTTCGAGCATTTTCACACCAACAACAGCCTGTTAGTTGCAAAAAGTTTTTCCAGAAACATTTAGCAAAAAATATTGAATGAAAAAAAGCTCCATTTAAGTACACTCAAAGATACCATTTTACATGTGTTACCTATAAATGCTTGATTTTCCATTGACAACTTAAGACAATGGCTTTGTCTGAAATGAATCATTCAATCCCTAACCTCTAACCCCCATATGGGGTTTCACTATATAGCTAACTATGTAGTGAGCTCATGGTTATGGTAGTTTCTTACTTTAGTCCAACCACCACGCCAAAATGGCGTACTCAGTACCTTAAGTACATTTCATTAAAGAAGTTGTGAGTTTCCTTAAAATACTACAACTACTAATATTAGTAATAATAAGGTTTAGTGCTTCACAAACATAAAAGCTTACTATATAGAAATAATAAGGGGAAACCAAATAGCAAGACATGTTAACAACAGATGACACAACTTAAATAGGAAACAAAAGAGTATTAAGTACTAAGAGCGATTATAAACAGTGGCTGAACCATACAGTTTATGGGCTAAACAGAGGAGGCAACAAGTAAAACAATAAATACCCTAAATAAATAATTAAAACCATTTGATAAATAAAAAGATTATTCGGCACAGATATGCTTTCAGGAGTGATTCAAGAAGTGTAATATTTTAATTTCTCTTTCCAACGGTAAATAAAAGTGATACACTTACATTTCCATGTTTCTTTTCTTGTCCCTCCTCATAATCCTCCCTGTAGGAACCATTCGATGGAGGAAGTAGTTCCCCTACACGGCTGTATTTCACTGTAGGAACGCAGGTGTCATCATACATGTTTGAAGTTAGCTGTTTGAGCAGAAGCTTCGCTAAAAACAAAGCCAGTTCTTCGTCTCTTCGTACCACCTTTGGTCTCAGTGTTTGCTTTTCTCCTTAAGGACGGATCCGGTGGCTCGTTGTCTCTCTCTGAAGCGACGGTTCCGTTAGCTGATCTGTGCTAACAGTTAGCAAACTGCTCTGAGGGTAGGCAGCCAACTTCACGTCCATGCGTCTGCAGCTGCTGTCATCTCAAGCGGAGGTACATCAGCAGGGATAACTAACAGGTACATGTAAACCCATTTTTCTATTGATAGACGTCTCTGCGTGACAGTTTTACCTCCGTTTCCCCACCATATGGTGGCTAAGCATGTGTTTGTCACAGTGAGCGCTGGTTGAATGATAAGTGTCAGCTATAATAGTGTTCCTGATATGTCTAGTTTTAACATATTTTGTAGAAATATGCAGAGTAAATTATAAATAAACCGGCGTATGTGCGAAATGAAAATGTTTAGGGTCTGGTGTGGGTCCCATCTGTAACCTGTTGTATGTAAATGTGTTATCATGACTGTATTAGTGTTGTGTTGTTTGCGAACTATTCGTTCAAAAGAGACGAATCTATTAAATGAACGTTCTGAACCGAATCACTCCCTCAAGTGATTCGTTCGTTTCTCTCTTCAGTTGAGCTGAAGTGAAAAACCGCTTTGCCAGGCCAGCAGCCGGTGAACGAGGGACCACATGCACCGATGCCTGATTCAATTGGTGAACGAATCATGCATTGAACTACACTCTCTGGAATCATTTTTGTCGGACAAAACTATCTTTTTTTTCACTGCTAAATTGCCACCCCAACAACTTGCATACAACAGGACACAGCATGTAACAAGTCGCGCATTAAACCCGCAGCATCCTATCATTGCAGCAGTTTGCGAGGGAACAGTGCATGTTCAGTTTGAATTCTTCTAAACTTTCAGTGAATGAATCGCAGACCTGGTAAATAGCATACCATAGGACAGTGCACTTAAAACACCATGAGTTATATACAAGTTCAGTTTTACAATGATTCGGTGATTTGGTGAACAAATCTCTTGAACAAATTTTTTAGTGAACTGATTCTAGTGATTCAGTACATCTAAAAGAACTGCCATGCCCATCACCAGACTGTATACTGTGCTGCAAAAGGGTACTTAGAGGAGTGATAGTGAAACAGACTGACTTTGTTATTCCTCTTTGTAAGCTACAAGAGCAAACTAGACCCTCAACATTAAGATGAACTGTTCCTTTAATTTAATTTTTAATGAGTGAAACTGCTGCGGCAGGGCAGGTGCTTTATAGTGGTGTTTAACAGCAGGCTGTGGGAAAGCCAAGAAGAGGTTCCAGTATTAACTCACATTAATTGCCATCCTGGTCCACACAATGATTACATCCCGCCTGGACTATTGCAGCTCCCTTCTCATTGGTCTCCCCCATAAGTCTATCCATAAGCTTCAACTGGTCCAGAACGCTGCCACCCATATCATCACCAGAACACCATCTATCAGTCACATCACACCTGTTCTCCACCAACTTCATTGGCATCCCATGAAATACTGCTTTGACTACAAAATTCTGCTCCACACATTTAAGGCCATCCAAAACCTCGCTCCTCCATACCTCTCTGAACTCCTCCACATCAACACTCCCACTCGGACTCTCAGGTCTGCCTCATCCATCAGCCTCATTATGCCTCCGGCCCGTCAGTCCATCATGGGATCCAGAGCCTTCCTCCCCCCTGACATTGGGGACATTGACTCAAATCCCATCTTAAAACTCATTATTTCAGACAGACCTACGCAGACTAGCATTTGATGTTCTGCTGCAGAGTCCGGACTTTTTTATTTAATACTTTGTTGTGTTGATGTGTTTTTTATTAATTTTACTATTCTACTGATGTGTCTTTAAAATTCCCTGTCATTGTCAATCATTGCACTAAAGGAAAGACAAAAACATGCTGCATTAGAAGATAATGAGGCAAAAACAAAACACCTGAGCTTTTTTTCCAAATATACTTTTATTTGCAAAACAACATGATTTACATTAATAAGCGTACTGTTATGTTTCCTCTTACACCAAAAGTACTTTCTGCTCATCCATCCGATTTTCTTTTCTCACAGTTTTTCCTGGCAGACATCATGGAGCTCCAGGCTGTGCTGATGGCAGCGGGAGGGGGTTCTCGTATGACTGATCTGACGTTTAACACCCCCAAACCGATGCTGCCTGTTGGAAACAAACCCCTGATGTGGTACCCACTCAACCTGCTTGAGAGGGTGGGCTTTGAAGGTGAGATCTCAGAATTGTCAGTGAAGTTGTGCTACATCTGACAAACACATGTTATAATTCTATTGTGATGGGTATTACTCGTGTTTTTAATTTGTTTTATAACACTTGAAATATACCTGCTTTGGGGGGGCACTGATGGCCTAGCGATGTGAGCGCCATTGGGTATAGAGGCCAAAGTCCTTGTCCCTGGTTGTGTGATTCCTGGCTGTGAGCCAATGTATGAGTGTGTGTGTGTACATGCATGGGGCTGGAGCCAAGTCCTCTAACTGCCATTGAGTAAGTGGTGGGCTACTCCCTGGACTGGTTGCAAGTCCATCACAGGGCTGACATGTAGAAATAGACAGCCTTTTACATACACGGTCACACCTATGGGCAAGTTATTGTAAAAAAAAAAAATCTAGATTTAAGCAGATGAATTTAATATTTACTTTTTTGTTAGATTTAGTGAATCAGGTGCTCACTTTGCACTAAAGCATGAACAACACTTGTGATTCTCTTAGAGAGGTCTACCACTAATACAAGCCTGCTTCATGTGTGTGTGTGTATACTTAAATATTTTACACATCTGTAGTAAAAATAGAGAAACAGAACAATACTGTTGCAGTAGTCTTCTTCCCTATAGTGTGTGGTCATCATAAATAGACCCTGCTTTGCAGCCATCTGCTCCATCATTATCATCCTGAGCAGAGGTCTAGTCATCCAGCGTAATTGTAAACATCTGTGTGGATGTACAAGGTCTCAAAATCAGTTGGCGTGTCAGAAAATTACTCACATGTTGTAATGATTCAGGGAGATGTCTGTGTGAATAAGAGTGTGTGAATAAGCAATCAGAACAAACTTTTAGAAAAGCTATTATCACTTGTCAGCAAGTTTTATGATACTATGACGATAGTATTAGTCAGTCACCGGAGAATTCATACTAATGTTTCTGGTGAATCTGCTTCCTTTTAGCAGTCTAACAGTTTTGCCTATTACAAAAGTAAATCATGACTGTCCAAAATTCGAGATGATTCACTCCCACTTTCCAAACACTAGCTCGGTCTGGTCTTGCAAACTGCAAAATTATGGGATTTTTTCAAAAGCAGGGAAAACAAACTGCACACCATGTCAATAGAATGTTGAAAAATAAAGTTTTATTAACATATCACTGACAAAAATGCTAAAATTCACCAAATCAGTCAGAGTTTGTAACAAAAACTCTTAATCTTTAACCACTTTAGTGTTATTTTTCAGTCAAAATGACATCTTCAAACGTGTTAAACAAAAGACTTCAGATAAAAGTCAGTTTGGATTAAAAAACAATCTTGTATGGGCCTCACATTAGCTTGAGTTGATAATATTGGCCACATGTGAGCTGTTAGCCCCCTCCTCCATACTGTGTCAGTGTAAGGGGTGGAAAGTGTTACAGGGGAGCAACAGCAGTCCTGGTTGGTTTCCACATAAAATGCAAAGAAGCAAAATCAGAGCCAGCACTAGCTTTATGTGGCCTCTGTGTAAAACCTGGAACAAAAAGTGTGCTAACTTCATTATCATAAAGTTGATGCTGAAGGAGGACCTTCGCCGGGAGACGATTATCTCTCACTCAGATACAAAGACACAGAATTGTTGGTGAGAGATCATAATGAAATATTGATATTTGTCAAAACTGATTTAATTAGAGAGACAGATTTGTTTTGTTATGTCACTTTGTGTTAAATAAAAAATGGCTATCTGTCAAAACAACAACAACAAAAAAATCTTTTGACTTTGGTGAAAACAAAGGAGAGTTGTCAACTTTACTAAAAGAAACAAATGTGTATCTTTGCAGTGGTGGGGTTCATATTTTATTCCATTCATAGGCGGTGGTTGTGTGATGTTTGCTTCCCATGAAACAGACAGGCATGCTTCCAAGTGGCTTAAATAGTCGATGCTCGCTCTTTTGTAAACCGTTCTCCCCTTTTCCACTTTTTTCACCCTGCTTGTCATCACATTGTCAGCGGTTGTCAGGTGTGTATTTCCTGTCTGGATTTACACAGTCTTGATTTTACCTCTTGTGCTGCAGCTTGCAGTAGGTCCAGAAACTCCGGGCTTATAAAGGGATTTGTTGCAGTGTGCTGTTCTTGCCAGTAAACAGGCCTTTTTGTTATAAAAGCTTGTTGGTCCTCGCTTGCTTAAATAAAACTGGCTGTCTATACATAATCATCCTGTGTGGCCGGCAGTTTACTGTGTGCAGCCAGCTAGCCAAGGCCCTGCAATTTGGTTTTTACTGGGCTGACACAGCTAGAGTGAACAAATGTAGAAAAAAAAAACATTTTATACAGACAAGGCTAATTAAAGTAGACGGATTCTGCAATGTTTCAAGATTCATAAAATTGTCATGTAATGTTGTTACCAACTTTATAAAAGCGGAGCAGTGGTCTCAGCCTGATTTATGTGACTGGGGTTAAAGGAGTAAGTACAGTTTAATAGACATCTTAGAGGTTTTTTTTGTATTTTGTATTTTTGAGGAATCTTAAGTGATTTTTTCTTTATTGCAGAAAGTTGGAGTACCTCTGTGTACAAAAGTACACATTTAGCTTCTCATTTTTGACCTCTCTTATTCAAAGGGGATTGTGTAAAAAGAGAATTATCTCTTATTTTCCCTTTCCTGCAAAGACGTGCCTTGTAAAATTTAGGAGATAGATAAAGTCAGAAGAGTATTTTTTGTATTTTATTGCTTTTAAAGGTCTGTGTGTATAACTTTGGACTTTTTGTTTTCAGAGGTGATTGTGATCACCACCAAAGAGGTCCAGAAGATGATGAGCACCGACTCTAAAATGAAACTGGATGTGAAGATGAAACTAGACGTGGTGTGTATCCAGGAGGACGGAGACATGGGGACAGCAGACGCTCTCAGACACATCCAGCAGAAGATCAAGGTGGGTGTATTGATAATAAACTGCTGCTGGGGTGATGCCGCACTTTCTCCAACAGACCAACAAAACCAGATTTAATTTGTAATCAAGAAACTAAACAAAAATTTTATTTACTGTGGACCCCAAAAACACTTTCATTAAACGCCCTCTCCTCTTGCTTACATTTAAATACAGTCATTGTTTTTCAGTTGAATAAAACACAAACATTTTTAAAAACTTTTAATCTAAATAGATGTATGTACCACATTACCTGTACATCAGTCAAAATCGTCTCCAATGTTTTCCTTGTTTATTTAAGAGTAAGTCAGAAAGTTACATTCGAAGTACGAGAGCTGGGAATCACTAGTGGCCCCATTAGTGCTGGGCGATTGGACGATATATATCGTTGGCACGATAGAAAATGTCTATCGTGCCATTTTTATTCTTATCGTTTCGGGCGATAGGTTGTATTTAATCCATAGAGCTTGTGCCATCAGATGATTCATAGTAACAACAACAATAATTGCACATTCAGTAAGTGTATTTGGTGTCGAACGGGAAAGAAAACAATATTTTCTTACAAAGAAAAGGATGCGTTGACATGTAGGCTTGCATTTCTCTTTCGATTTTGCGACATGACGCCGCTTTACGTGCCCTCTTTATGTCCAGCGCCTCCCGCCGTTGCGTGTTACCTGGGTTACACACGTGAGGGGATCATTGTAAGCAGTGCTTAATTTGTGCCGGAGCAAGTCGGAGCGCGATCCGGGACCTCTTTTGATCGGATCTGGGACCTATTTCAGCCGCTCCGGCACCTGTTTCATCTGCTCCGGGACCTTCCCTGTGGAGGATGACTTTTTTCGGGAATTCCCGTGGGTCACGTGATTCCCGCGGGATGGGAGTCATTTTTTTATTAATCTCTTGATCGGGACGGGACGGGAAAAAAAGCAACGGGAGTGGGCAGGAGCGGGAACAACATGAAAAGATGATCTTTTTCAGCCGTGTTAAACAACCAGATGAACAGGTGCGTCCATTTTTGTAGTCATCTCTCAGTGAGAGTAAACACTCTTGACCGCGCTAGCAACACAAAAGAACTACAACAGCGGTTTGACTTCCTGTCAGCTGGGAGCGCGGCTGCGCATTTGTACCCTTCAAGCCAGCAGCGAGGAAACGTAATTTTGTGACATTCTGTAGTTTTTCAATCATTTCTGGAGTCGTGGCGAATCAAATCACCTTACCTGTCTGCCCCTGATAGGCGAATAAAGCGCTCGGATTCATGCTCGGGTCTTGCTACGTGCTTCAAGAGTAAAGTAAACAATGATGGAGGCAGAGAGCAGCTTTGGAGGAGAAACATCTAGCAGTGTGAACAACCTCTTCAAAAGAGCCCTAAAGACCTACCTTTTTAATAAAGCCTTTGGTTAGTTTTCCTCTATGCTATATGCTTTTACTACCTTGCCTCTTACATTGCAACTCTATATATTTTATTTTTTTTTAATTCTTTTTTATGCTAATCTGTGACTGTCATTCTATTGCTTTTTTTTATTGTTGCTGCTCTTTTTTTACTGTGTACTGTAGCACTTTGAGATTTTTTTGTAAATGTAAAGTGCATTACAAATTAAATTTATTATTATTATTATTATTATTATGGAGTGCTTCGGCTCACACTATCAGCGTTTTCTGTAAGTGTTACATAACTTTGGGTGAGCACAGACATGAACGCACTTCAGCCACGTATTTGTTTATTCATTTTTCTAGTTTTAAGTGCTGGTCTTGTACTGGTACTGTACTAGTGCAGCTGTATACACTTAAATTTTTCATAGAACTGAAAGCATACCATAGCTATATCGTGATATATATCGTTATCGTGATATAAAATGATCCATATCGTGATATACATTTTTTTCCATATCGCCCAGCACTAGGCCCCATGATATGTTTCTATCATGATGCTTGGGCCACAATACGATATTATTGCGATTTTTAACATTTTGCAATACAGTGAGTATTGCGATACATTATATTGCGATTTATACATTTTTTTCAACTGTTTAGCATTTGGCTTTCCTTTATGTTTGTCTTAATGATACTGTATTATATTTGTTATCACAGATTTGACTTCATATCAGCAATTAATTTGAAAAATCGATACTTGATACATGAGACGATACGATATATCACCAGACAAAATATCACGATACTATGCTGTATCGATTTTTTTCTCCCACCTCTAAAAAAGTACATATAACAAATATACAGCAACTGGATGTTTCCCTGCTCCAACACACCTGATTCAAATGATTAGCTCGTTATTAAGCCATTACAGAGCTTGATAACGAGCTAATCATTTGAATCAGGTGTGTTGGAGCAGGGAAACATCCAAAACATGCAGGACATAGGACTGGACTTGAGAACCACTGGACTAGCCTACAATCAGTTGCTGCTGATTTGGGAAGCTCTGTTGTTAATTTCTTCTATTTTAGTTTTATCCAAAGGTCTGTTGCAATCTGCACACTCCAAACTATTGAACTCTGTTGCTGGCCTTTGTGTTATGGTTGCCTGCTGACATTTTTAGGTAGCTGCACCTGTATGAGTAGCTTCCTTTGACTTGTCAGCTAAGCGGTCTGTTTTTTTTAAAGTGATATGTGCCGATTAGAAGTGCAACATTTCCATCACTGCAGTGGAAGGAAGCAAGAAGCTGAGATTACATAACTACAAAAGCCCTAATAAGAGCATAAAGGGCTGATAAAGTTTTTTTGTTTGACTGTTTTTCATACTGAGGCACCTTCAGCCGAGCTTTGTGACCTGTGCTGATAAATCAAACAATTCAGCCATTAAAAAAACAAACTTTACTCTTCTTCCGCCCACCTGCACCCATTGTTGAGCTCACCCACTTTCATGCAGGTCACGCCGATCTTGTTGTGTGTGTGTGTTTGTGGTGAACAAACCAGCCTGAACAGAACCAGACTGTTGTGAACAGCATGCATGTTCTCCCCAAAAAAAGTTCAAGTGTTCCAGTGCTGTTATTTTAATTGTTGGCTCATTACGGCATAATGAGATCAAGTGGTGATGTTGTTAATGAAGAATGCTGCACCGACTGTGTGTGTTGCACAATAGTTTTAAATAAACCATCATTTACCAGTAATCAGTGCTCTGAAATGAGAGAAAAACTTTTGGAAAATGTGTACAAAAAGACAAATGAGTTTAAAAATGACAAAGGACTCTGAAGGTGGGGGGGTTCAAGGTGGGCGTTGTGTGTACTGCTGAGTGACCACTGATCCGTGCCTCTCCCTTCCTCCCCTTACTGTTAATGGCTGCAGAAGTTCCTTCTCAGCTCACTTTTTTTTTTTTCCAAATACACACAAACATGCACAGATGCACACATGAACACACTGCCACTATAGCCATGACCCCCCAACCCTGATTTCCAGACCTCCTCTGTGCCCTGTCCGTTGATCTCTCCATCCCTCCCTTCATCCCGTTCTGTCTAAACAAATGAGGTCATGGTTAAGAATCAAACTCCCCGTGCTGCCAGTTTACCCGCTGCACCATTTGCTCTCATCCTGAACATCTGTGCAGCATTTGTGTTAGGGTATGTTGGAGTGTATGTTGTTCCTCTGTATATGCCATGGCTTTGACTGACCCCCTGAGATGATGAAGACATGTTTGTGTAAGGGTTTGTGCCAATCAGAGCGACTGATGTACCCCTTTAACTATTTGTTGGAGTTTAATTTTTGGTGGTAGGGCAGGGCGACATGGGAAAAAGTTTATCATGATAATTTTTTTTCATCTCAGTCGATATCAATATATATCATGACATACAAAATGAAATTTAACAGTTCTTATTGGTTGCATGTCTTTTGCCATACAATAAGCTACTGCATCTATGAGGTCTTTGTGTCGTAAGGCGTTGCGCTAGAGAAAGCGGACTGAAAGGGCAGCTGTTTCGGCTGCACAGGCACCATGGGCTCCTTGCTCCGCTAGGGGTTTGTAACCTTTTGCATTGTGCGTGCTCTGCCGCCTGGTACTGCTTAAAGATTTGAGGTATTCCCCGACTTTGCGAGAACATGAACTCGATATAATTTGCAGTGCACATTACTCTGCCTCATGTCCAACCTCAAAAAACCAAAATACCTCCACACCACCGACGTTTTCGTGCCAGTGTTGCCGACAATGTCATCATCTGTTGAGCCTTCATCTGAATTTCTGCTGGGGGTAGCACTCATTTTCCATTTTTCTCACCTACAGTGCTTTTGGTTTCACGTGTTAAACTGCCATGGTTGCGTGTAGCTGCAGTCTGCTACTACGCAGTTGTTTGCTACTTGGTTCTAAATCAGCCCAATTGGTTCAGTGCGAAGTGGACCCGGAGAAACTCCCCTTTTCATTGGCTATTTGTATAGTCTACTAAAACATTGCAGAATGCCAACTATTGAAAATACTGATATTGAGGGAAATTAATTTTCAATATATATCATTATCGTATTATCGCCCAGCCCTACCTTCAACTAATTTTGGAGGTTAAATTTTTAGTTTTTAAAAAATATTTTTTGTTTTTTATCAGAATTTTTCAAATACAAAAAGGAGGTAAAGGTAAAAACATATATTTGGACACCCTTCTCAGGTGTGTGGAAAACATTGAATTCTCAAGATCCAAAGATTGACCAACAGTTAAATCCAAGTGTCCGAAAAAGACACACAACATCAAACATCGATTTGAAAGACTTAAGTATCCAGCTACTGCAGCTCATTACATTCTTTACTGCTGAATCTGTCGGCTGTACCTTTGAAAGCACATTTATCAGAGACTTTAAATGCTGAATTTGTTGTGACAAGTGTGTTAAAAGTTTTTTTCCTCTGGCACTTGAATGGGTCTGTGCAGATTCTTATTGTTCACTTTGCCTCAGTTTCTTTTTTAATAGTTGTATAGTAAAACCACACACACACACACACACAGACACACACATACGCACTTAAACAGGACCTGCTCCAGCATGCTTCCATTGAGAATAGTCGGGTCCCTAATCCTTTGAGCAGCCAGCTAGATTAGAGGCATTGAGTTACGCACATTCACCCACTGGAGGGTGATGAGTGAAGAACCGTAACTGTGGCCTGCCAAGTCCCAACACAGAGATCACTCAAACTGTCAGACTGATGCATGAGTACAGTATAGGCACACACACTCACTCATCTCTTTACACAAACACACTCCCATGAGGGGATTTGGTGTAACCTATCAAACAAAATACTTACAGGAATCCCAGTACAACTCCAGGTCCTTCCTCCCGATTATTGAAAAGAGAGATTACAAGCAGCATATTTTATTTTGTTCGCTCTGCAAACAAGGGAAGTCACACAAAAGTGGAGGGATATGACTGATTGTTTGGAAGCTCTTTCACAAGAAGCCAAACTAGTGAAAGGGGTACTTAACATGTACTTTTTGCTTTGTGCGCTTAAAGCCTCTTTGACGTTTTTATGAACATTCAGGCTTCATCACCTGAGTGTCTGCAGACTCAAAGAAATGTATATATACATTGGAGTCGCTGATTCACCGGGTTTAACTTTTGTCTACATTTGTTAGTCTTTTTGTAAGACTGAGGATAAAAGGTGAAGAGAGAGAAGAGTAAGAGGTGAAGCTTAAGATTTTGTTTTTACTTTTTTTTCTTTCCACTCCAAACTCATCCACCTTTTTTACTTCTTTGTGTGGCACGCAATATTTGTGACATTTGTATTGTAAAAAAACTTAAATTTAAAAACTTTTAAGTCTAATGCAATCTTTCTTTCTTTTAGTCCAGTGAAAAAAAGCTGATTGCCTCTTATTCTTACGACTAAGTTGTTTCATTCATTCATTTTTGGAAAAGTTTGTTCAAGGTGGACCTGAAACCCATCCTGCATAATGGAGGAAATAGGTTATAAAAACTCAAGGTAATCATACTTTAAAGGATTACTTTTAAGTTAAAATGCATTTGTTTGGGATCTATTAAAGATAAAAGATGAAGACAAAACACATCCAGGAGTATAACAGGGTAAAAAGTTACTTATACTCTCAACATGATATGATAAGTTTTCATTTAAAAAGTAGATTAAAATTAGTTTTTTATCGACTGTTTTTTGTCATTCAAATGGAACTTTAAAGCTCCTATGAAAGTTGAGAAATACACTGAAATGAGCTTTGATGCATCCCTGTGATCTACAAAAGAAAATGAGACAAACAATGTCAAGATTTTCAGTTTCTTAGAATTAGAACTTTCAATGCCTTTAATCGTTGTGAGGGGGTGGCTACGCTGAAGAAATTGCCTTAGTTACTTTTACAAATATCCATGATTAGTGATTGAGTTTATTTTTAAAAGACAGTAGGAGGAGCTTTTTGTGAGTTAACACCACGCCACAAAGACTAGAAAAAAAATCAGTAACAGTATAAGGCGGTGGTTCTCAAGTCCAGTCCTCCAGGCCCACTGTCCTGCATGTTTTAGATGTTTCCCTGCTCCAACACACCTGATTCAAATGATCAGCTCGTTATCAAGCTCTGCAATGGCTTAATAACGAGCTGATCATTTGAATCAGGTGTGTTGGAGCAGGGAAACATCCAAAACATACAGGACAGTGGGCCTCGAGGACTGGACTTGAGAACCACTGGTTTAAGGGGTACCACTTTATCCACAGGGGGCGCCAAAAGCAGCACAGACAAATACCCACAAATACAAAGTAAAATAAACAAATTGAGCACACACAGCAAAACCTGGGATATCAAAGCCCACTGTACCAAAACACAGCTTTTAGGCATCTTTAGTCCAGTTTCTAGACCAAAATACTGCTACAGGATACCACTTCACATCTGTGTGTGTCTATAACCGCCAAGTCTGAGCTGTAACTACAGCCCCTACTAGTGGAGACCAGCTGCACAGACGCAACATTTGAGTGCAGTTGAGCCTACAATAATTTCTCAATAATGAGCTCTGGTGCCAGTTGTTGAGGATGTTAAGCTTGAACCATTCAGTCAACTGAACACGCACATCCCTGATTAAAAATTAAAGGATCATCTCCTTTGTTATTTTTTTGCTGTTCTTAGTTTTGGAGTTTAATGTTACAAGTGACTAAGAAGGAAGAACCATGCGTTCATAACAAGGAACGAGTTAGAACCTAGATGACTTGCCTAATACTTATGTTTGATTTGTATTTTAAAAGAGTTATCAGTAATGAACAATAATTAAGATAATTGACAGTCACACTTAAGGAAATATTCCCACACTATCATGGTAGAGGAAATAAACATAACTCTATGTTTGAACTAACCTTCATCTCTCCTGTGTAAAAAACAGGGCTCTATCAACATAAAGACGAAGTTTCCAAGTTTGGTACAACTAGATCGAGGAGGTGTAAGCAGTAGTTTTGGATGAGTGTCCATGACTCTGTGTGTGTGCAGGCATCAGTGTGTGTGGTCCTGACCTGTCCAGAGATTCTGGCTGTTGAAAGGCTAAAGTGTCTCTGTCTCTCCAGCTGACTCCACTCTGCTGTCGCCTCGGTGTGGGTGAGACTGTGTGTGAGGTTTATATGTGTGTATGTCTGTCTGTGTGTGTGTCTCAGAGAGAGAGAGAGGAGAGTTGAAAGGTCTCAGAGTCTCAGTGTCGGTAGATCTTCTGCAGACAACTCCGACTCTGTCGTGGCAGCTTCCTGTCGCCAGGTCCACACCAGGTTATGTCGGGTGTTACCTCTAGGTCAACTACATGACCCTTGACCCCACTGATACGAGCCCTCTCCAGCTGAAACACACAGAGAGACACAAACAGAGGTGTACAAAACTCTTAAACACTCAACCAAAAAAAAAAAATCACATTTCTCCTTTATGGTTTCTATCCTCATGTCATCTCCCACTTCCTTCACTCCCCCTTTCTTCCCCTTCTCCCTCCCCCGTCCAAGATGTTGCTGTCATTAAAGCGGCTGGTGCTAATGGTGGGATTAGTTCTCATGCTGACAGCCTTCATCAGATGGATACCGCACACACGCAGTCACACATATATGGGCGCACCCTCGTGCAAACACACATACACACATACGGATGTGTAACATCACTGATATAGGTTTTGTACTCCCAGATGTAAGAGTCAGAGTAAGTGATATGTAAAGAGAATTCACAAGCTGTGTAACAATATACAATTTGAAACCTATAGGGTTTACATGTTATTACATAGCTCGGATGCTGAAGATAGTTTGAGTTTTCGTCTAATCTCCGCCGTCATAAATGAGCTCAGGCGCAGAGAGGTTGCCAGCATTTCTGGGTCATGTTTATGAATGGTTCCCTCTCAAATTAGTGCAGTTTTAACCTGTTTTTGTAAATGAAGCAACAAACCGTGCTCACAGACGGTGATGATTTCTACTGCAGAGTTATATCTAATTTCAATGCCTGTGGACCTGTTTTCATCTTTGTCTGTTTTTATCTACAGTGATTCTAAACCAGATTAGAACTCTCTATCATCGAGCTCATCGTAAACACACAAACAAGTCGACTGAAGAGAAACAGACACACATCCTAAATGAAAATAATGACATCAAAAAAGCTTCATTCCTTACTGTCATCTGAGTTTGTGTAGCTTTAAATCAGTGTTTGGCATGAAAACACACAAAGTTAAACTCGGAAGAGAGAAATTCCTGCTTTTTCTGTTCTGTATGTTTGTTATAAAAATTCTGAGTGATCCAGTTTCTGTTGTTAATATTTGGTAAATAACATAATCCCGGCTCTCATGTCCTGAGGTGTTTATGTGGAGCATTGTCGCCACCTTTATTTATGTATAGTCTGCGCGCATGAAGTGAGTAGGCAGACCTCACTGTCTGAACATCAGGAGCGTTCTGTTTCATGGTGTTTCTGTGTCTTTGTGGACTAATGGAAATGTCTGAAAAATCACTACATGTGGGCAGATTTTGCTCAAAATGGGACACCGGTCAGAGATCACGATCAAAAGTCTGAAATGTTTGAACTTACAGTCATATTCACAGCACTTCCAGCTTATTATTAACATGGTTTATCATATCTGACTTTTACTCTTTAAAATCAACGTGTTTCTCTGGAGTCGTCTTCAATTCTTTTCGCTCTCTTTCCAAACTCCCTCCTCAGACAGACATCCTGGTGGTCAGTTGTGACCTGATAACAGATGTGGCTCTTCACGAGGTGGTGGATCTCTTCAGGGCCCACAATGCGGCACTGGCCATGCTGATGAGCAAAGCCCATGAATTTACAGAGACCGTCCCGGGACAGAAGGGCAAGAAAAAGACAGGTAACAGAATAAACAACAGAAAAAACTGTGTAAATTACTGTTAACATCACATTTATGCTGGATGAATCAATTCCAGTCATAATGTGAAAGAAAGAAAAAGTGACAGAAAATTAAAACATTTAAAAAAAACTAATTTTGTGTGTTTTTCTTCCAGCTGAGCAGAGAGACTTTGTGGGTGTGGATCACTCAGGGAAGAGGCTGCTGTTTATGGCCAATGAGGCTGATTTGGAGGACGGCCTGTCAATTAGGAAGTCCATCATGAGGAAGTAAGTTTGTTGTTTATTATTTTCAACCTTTAGTTCAGTGTAGTCATCAAAATTTTATTTGTTGTGCTCGCATTTGATCTGATTATGGCAAATTCTTGTCTTTTTATTGATATATATAGTGCAATATGAAGAACTACTGGAATTTATAAAAACATAAATGCATCTAAATGTCAATCCTTCAATTATGTTGATTCTTATATGCATCTAGACTGACTGCAGGTCTGTTCCCTGCTGTAAGTAAGCCATGTCCCTCTCCAGCTCTGTGTCCAGCTCTAGCTCTCACCTGTATGGAGAGGTAGAGAGATAAGAGTCAGTTCCCTAAAAAACTTTACCGATAAACTCAATTGACAAATGAAGATGTCATTGAACAGGTCAAACAATGCTCAGAGTTGAGTTCAGCCGACTGACAAAAACAAATTTTGTTTTATTCTAATGCACAACACTACACTGTATTTGGGCCACAGGTGAAAACATTAAAAGTAAAGATTGTGTGGTCCTGTAAGTGGTCCAAATATGTGTCTAGAATCATAAACAAGCACGAGGCTGAGCGGGAGTACTCCCTTAAAACCCACCTGGCTAACCTAAGCATCTGCTGGGCTGACGAAAGCAAAGTGTACTACACATGTTTACATTTTACATTCATGTGAGACATGAAACTGCGTGCCCAATTAGTTTTGTAGATGAATCGTGAAAAATGAGAAACTAGTGAATTAAAGCTTTGCATCATGTTGCTGAGAAACATGTATTTGCAATTGAATGAAATGACTGTGTTTGTAATTACTTCATTTTGGGGGCTATGTCTGTATTCGTTATTTATAGTTCTTTGTATGAAATTGTGCTCATTGTCCAAATATCAACAAAGGTGAAAATAATATCAATCAGTTCTAATGAACACATTATTTAAGTTACCCTTCTTTAGTCAGCTGTGTGTTTTGTGTAGAGGATTCTTACCCCAAGCTCTGTGGATTCTAGTATATGTGGGTTTGAGGGGTGGTAAATAGTTTCTGTACATCTGCACTTTGTAGTCGGGCTTAGGAGAGCAGATGTTTCAGTTTCTAATCAGATACAGTGTGTTTTTGTCTGAACAATCTGCGGCGGGTGTATGTGGGATTTTTGTTACAGGAAGAGCTCTCTAGGTAGGTTTTCGTCTCTAAGTCCTAAAGTGCATGTATGTGTGAGAGCGGGTGTTTTGGGGGCTCGTAAATACTTCATGGAGCCAAAGCTACTGTAAATTCTGGCCAATAAGAGGGGGGCCTGAGCAGCTGCTCGCATGCTTCCCTGCACAGGAAAATCTTCTTCTACACACACACACATGGATATATATACATTCATATATATATATATATATATGTATACACTCACACATTCTGTCTCTTTCACACACACACAGAAATGTGTATATGAACACAGAGAAACATGACTTCAAGGTGGACACTGGTGGAGTGAAAACACTCGCACATTGTCACACAGTGTTATGGAAACAGGAGCCTCCAGCTTAACATTTAGGGCTTACATTGGAAGATGTGTAAAGTATAATTCATCGTAGATCATTTATACACACACATCATGTAACCACATCAAACAGATTAAAGAAACATCTTTCACCCTGGAATTAAGTGCTATGCACTTTTTTATTGTCACCAGTTTAATCCTGACTTTCTTGTCGGGTCCACAGTTTTTTATTTTTTAACTCTGAGCTGACATTCATTTAGTATTTCCATCTTTGTTCAACTTCAGGCCTGTGCAATCTTTTCTTCTCCTTTGCATCTTCTATTTCCACAAAGTTTAGCTTGCGTAATGGTAGCTCAAAACAATCTGCACAAGTGTGATTGTTTGACCTGGAAAAAACTTAAATGTATGAAAAGACTCCAGCTGAGTTTACCCTCCTACAGCGCAGCTCCGCCCACTATATTATCTTGGAAGCAGGACCTGGAAATAGGCTGGATCAGAATCAAATTCCTTGAAAGTAAGGCAAAACTTCAGGGTTTTAAAATCCCTCACTTAAAGGCTGTAAAAAAAATCACAAATATCTGTCCACACTTAGCAAATAGCTTGGGATTATGAACCTCACTTTTTAAACGTGTTTTCAGCAAAGTGACCTTTAGAGATAAGCGTAGGAATTCATATGCATCTGTTAGCAATGAAGGGAAAAAGAGGGGCCTGAATCCCAATCAATAAAAATCTGCATGTCCCGGACTCTCTAAACGGTAAATGATTCCCATGCCCTGCAAAATAACATTAACCAAATGCACATTGAAGAAACACAAACCGATTAACAGATCTGATGTTCTCATTGTACTCTTTGTACCTTTTACATAATGTCATAAGTACCACCAATAAAATATCTACAACAGCTGAAAACCACAGGCAGATGAGTTTGTGGCAAGTGTATTTCATATTGATCCATTTGTTTTTGTTTTTTTACTCAATATAGTTTTGTTTGTTCTTCGCAGTTTTATTTCACTGCTGAAATGCAGATTTGTAAAATAGATCCAATAGCTTGCACGCAGATCTGGTCTTAGTTTTCCTCCTCCTTCCTTTAAAATGTTCCTTTTTGTATAGTTTTATTTAAAAGTTTTTGTCATTTTACTTTTTGTATGATAAAAATGTAGTTTAAAAAAAAACACTCATGCTGGTTTTGTCAGCCTTGAAAAATGACCAGCAGTGCCATGTGTATTTATAACACAGCTTCAAATATATGGGTCAAATATACGAGAGTGGACGAGCTGGTATTGAGGGTTTCACACTTCTGTATATTTCTGTGCCAGTAATGAAATGCCCTGAATAAAATTTAAACCCTTCAGGCTTGTTGGCTCTGTAGTGGAAACCTGACTAATGAGGGTATTAACAGTCAATCTTCTGCCTCTGAGTCATCCTGTGCTGTGGGGTTTAGTTGTAACTAAATAAGACATTATGCTGTGTGTGTTTGAGCAAGAGAGATGTGACTCCTCTCTCCCACTGAGGACTTTAGTGGTACTTTAGTATTCAGTCGTTAATCCAGGGGTTGAGTCATCCTTGCCTGCAGAGGCACTAAATTCTTTTTGCGCTGCACACTGAGCTCTACAGCACTCACAGCATCCAGAAATCCCATGGCGCTGCTGTCAGGAAAAGCAAGATGTTTACACTTGTTTTGTGGAAATTTAAGATTTTAGTAACTTTAGGATTCTGCAACATGTTACCAGTGCTCAGAATTTTGAATAGAAATGACAAGAGACTCTTAGAAAACAGTTTCATCTACATCTTTCATCTCTACTACACTTTAAACTCTCATTTGTAAGAATCTAGGCTGTAGATTGATAATCATTAGTTAGGTCCTTTAAAGTAGGGGTGTCCCGATACGATATTGATATCAGATATCGGTCCGATATCAGCAAAAATTTGAATATGGATTATATCGTCCTGCATCTAAAATCTCCGATATCAGCACTCTGATACAGGCAGTCCATTCCAGATTCCGCTCCAGCACCTCTATCTAGCAGCACCCGGATCTAACTTAAAGAGTCCATATGATTACAACAACAGTGGGTTCTGAGGTACTAACAAAGTACCAAGGAGTAGAAGTGATGTCAGTATTTTTCATTAAAGTCTGAAAAAGACGTTGCAGCTGAGTGCAAAACTTGTTATGCAGAAGTTTGTGCTAATATAGGATCAATATCGGCATTGGCCAATACTGAAGGCTACAATATCGGTATCATATCAAAGGTAAAAAAGTTGTATCTGGACACTTGTACTTAAAGACCCATTTATTGTCATTGCTCAGGAGGCAAAATGTACAGATACAAATGGCCCTATTCATTAATTAACTTTGGGTGGGTTTATTTCTTCCAGTATCTATATAAACAGTTTGCGCAAAAGTCGGGTGACGTCTTGGGTGACGACTTTTTCCTGCTTCTTACTCATTACTTTTTGTCTCAGTACTTTCACGGTGTTTCTATTTTTGTTTGTTTTGCAGAAACGTCCTAAGCAGTATTAAAAAACTGACAACTATCACATTCCCCCATGTGCTCTCCCACTCTCCTAAAGAGGCTGCTAGTTTTAAGGCTGTATTCACGAATGATGAGGCTGCTCAGTATCCTGAGTCTGTCGCATCTCTAAGTGGCAGAATATGATTAAAGCTGTAACAAGTACTCAACAAGCGGTACATCCCTGGATCAAACCAAGAGTTAGAATTAAGTGTTTCAGATTATTTAGGTGCATATCCTCATCAAACTGTCAGACTCACTCTTCTTCTTTCTCCCTCGCTCGCTCTCTCTTTTTCTCTCTTTCTCTCTCCTGCCCACCCGCAGGTGCCAGAAAGTGATGTCATACGCTGGGTGTTCCCAGAAATTCCACATTAAGCCCACGACACACACACGCAGGCACACCTGGGAAATGTTTTATGAATAAATACATTCGACAAACTCCCACAGAGCGTGTCTGTGTGTGCACGCACATGTGTTTTTATGCTTTTGAATAAAATACCTTTAAACAGGCAGATGGACACACACACAGTTTGATTTATGGCTGTCAGCATCTGGTTGTAAAATATGTGTGACCAACTTATCCTCCTGAGTCACTCCAGTGATACTGCAGCCTGGTGAGGAGAGGGAGAGAAGTATGAGGAGAGAAAAGAGGAGAAGGCAGGGACACTGTGAAAACAAAAATTTAAGAATACGATTTTTTTTATGAAATTTTCGAATCTCCTGTCTTTTCATTTTTAATTCAGCTTTATGTTAAATTTACTGCAAATTTCTATGCACATGTTAACAAGTGCATTTTTTTTAAATTTCTTATTCAGAAAACAAACTTTGTGTCAAAATTTCTGTGAAACGTTACCAATATTCAACACATTACCTATCTTTCTCTTACATTTCTGTCAGTATAACTCATTCCATATGAACCAGTTTGATGAGCACTGTTGCTTTCTCTAAGGAGTCCCGGCCAAACTTGTCACAATGTCAGAATTCTGAACTTCATAGTGTTTAAACAACACACTGAAAACAGACATTTGACATATTCTTAAAAGTAATGAAAAGTAAACTAAGGTTTTTTTCTAAGGTTTCGTCTTAAAACCCATTTTTATTCATTGGCTTTTAACCCTGCATGAGACTCGGCTCCTGTTTTAGTGTTCTATGGTTTGTTTTTAGTCATTTGTTTCTATGTTTTTAAATTAGTTTTTAAAAACATTGAAGCTATATTTTATTATTAATTCTGCTTTTATTTTATCCATTGTTTTAATTGTTTCTTGATTGTTTTTTATCTTGTTGTTTTTGTCCTGTTATGTACAGCACTTTGTACAGCTGTGGTTGTTTTAAAGTGCTCTACAAATAAAGTTGAGTTGAGTTGAGTTGAGTAAAGACATAACATAAAGACGCAAACTAAACTAGATACGTTTGGCGGGACATATACAAATGGCCAAAATGGGCCAAAAATAGCGGAATAACTCTTAAACCGTGCGTCTGAGAAAAAAGTCCAAGTGCGCAAATCAAAGATCTCGTTAAGATACACGTGCCTGTAAAATTTTGGGCAGATCAGACAAAGTTGACATTCGTGGCGCTCTGTAGGGGGCGATAGCAAGCCATTTTTTAACGCATTTTTTTGGTCACTTTAAAACATTGCGAATTCGCCGGGCCTGACCTGCCTGCACATTTTAGTGAGTTTTCAAGGTCGTTCAGGGGGTCAAAATTGCGTTTTCTGAGGCCGTATAATAATAATAATAATATCAATAATAATAATATTGATAATAATAATGATAATTGAGAACCCCTTTGGTTTTTGATAGTGCTTCGCTGTCGGCTCGGGCCCTAGATATTTGGTCGGAGTTATGTGAGCCCTCCCTGTGTGTGTGCTTTTTTAAAATATTTTTTAAACTATTATGGTCATTTTATGTGTGTAAGTCATTGTTGTGCAATAATGAAACACAGATTTTTAAATCAATCTGCTTTACAAATAAAAAAAATTAACCAAAATGAGTGCAGGATGCTTTGAAAAACAAACCAAAAAAAGATTGTAGTTAATGGGCTTAAACATGTAAAAGCAGGAGTAATGCCCTTTGAAGAACAGTGCACCCTGCAGGTTTTATGATCGAATGATTGAAGGGGTAGAGGAAGAGGAGGATAGGTAGTCTGAGACGGTGAAGGAGTAAGGGCGGGTTTGTTTTCTGAAACCTGGAGCTTAAAATGGTTTTCTTTGGCTCTCGCTTCATAAATGTCACATGTTCAGACTGAGGCCACTATGTGAGTTAACGTGTGAATGAGTGAATGCATGGGTTTCAGTGAGTGTGTGAGTATGCATGTGTGTGTCCATGCCCATGTGGCCCCCCATCCATTCAACATAAACCTGTCTCATGGCAGCAGCTCAGAGGGGCGACGTCTATGGTGGCTGACAGAGGACAATTGGCAGATGTCACTGCTCTCTGGCTTTTATGTTAGCTTACTGCCTGTTTCTGGTTTTCATCAAACGCCCCTGTCCTGTTTGCAAAGCAGAGCAAAATTAACATAGTTTCAGTAAAAGAGAAGCAAACAAAAGCAGCAGGTGATAATTCAAAGAAATATTCAATAGGGGTGGGAATCACTAGTGGCCCCACAATACAATTTCATCACGATACTTGGGCCATGATACAATATTATTGCGAATTTTAACATTTTGCAATACAGTGAGTATTGCGATACTATATATTGCGATTTATACAATTTTTCCAACTGTTTAGCTAATTTAGCATTTGTCTTTCTTTAATGTTAGTCTTATTTACACAGTATTTTATTTTTATGTAGCACATCTTGCAAACCTTATATATATTTGTTGTACTAACTTTCTCCTGCTCTATGATGTTACCTCTGCCAACCTCACTGGACAAACAATTGGTTTTATTTTCCCATTATCATAGATTTGACTTCACATCAGCAATTAGTATAAAAAATTGTTACTTGGTAAATGAGACGATACGATATATTACCAGACAAAATATTGCGATACTATGCTGTATCAATTTTTTTTCCACCCTAATTTTCAAGAAAAGTTATAGCACGTCAAAGATGTTCAAAAGATGATTTTTTAATTTTTAATTTTGATGTTTTGTTTGTTTTTTATATCAAATATCTCGTATTACAGACTGTGTGAGGCTTTTCAAATTAAGAGTAAAAATGTTAAAAATGTTGCTTTGATATACAGTAGTTTCTCTCTCTCTCTCCTTTTTTTTTTTTTTGGTCACTTTTTGACTGTTTTCCTCTTTTCTTTGCAGACATCCCAGGATGCACATCAAAACCGGCCTTGTAGACGCTCACCTCTACTGCATGAAAAAAGCTGTGGTGGACTTCCTCGCAGACAACAAGTGAGTTCTTCTTTAATCAGTCCACTTTTTGCTCAGTCTTCTTGAGCTATTCAACTTTGAACTTTTTAAACTGAAAACTCTCTGGCTACCTGTTTATATCTGAGGTATTGTCTGGGTAGATAATCAATTCAGGCATAAACCCACACAGTCAAACAGCCCTTCTTGTTCTCTGCTTAATCCGCAGCAAGTGTTAAACATGGTTACATGGTGTGTAAGGCTTTGAAAGGTCCTGTTAGCAGGGTATTCTAGCGAGGTGTTAATTTGTTTTACTATGTGCCACTGAGGCAGGCTGTTAGGCCTTTAGCCTCTGAAGTGGAGCAGTGTCACAGGGAAACTATTGTAGCTAACCTGGCGATACGTGCATGTTTAGTGTGTGAAAAATCAAAGAATCAATCGATGTTTAGCTTTTATTTTAATCTTTTTTTAATCAGTGTTAGTAAATGCTTTATAGAATTAGGAGGGAGCAATTTACAATGTCCCCTTTAACTGGAGGTCTAATGGGTTCACTGTGTCTTTGCCTCACCCACTCGATTGCCATGAATGTTCCCAACTATCACCTGCAGGGCTTGACACTAACTTTTTTCACAAGGAGGGCATGTGCTCCTAAGTAGAAAAAGTAAGGAGCACACAAAGAACTTCAGGGGCACAATGAAAATTGGTCAAATAATGTGTTTCTTATTGGTCGACATAAGTACTATTATGTGAAATCAGTTTGAGGTCTTTTGGTCACGTGACATGGAGGCTATTAAGGAAAATGTTCAAAATTTGCCTTTAAATTTAACACAATTTTAAAAACACAACAATTTTTGGAGGACAAATTAGGGAAATAAAGAGGTGTGTCTGATTGCCCGACCTTGGTACTATCATTTGAAATCAATTTTAGGTCAATTGGTCACATGACATGGAAGCTATTGAAGGAAAATAGCCTTTTTTTTTTTAGAACATCAACCGGTAAGTTATTGATGGTCCCTTATTCAACACCCGACGTGGACAGCAAGGGTGCAGAGTAGATTTAACCGTGCTGCTGTTGCCATTCCCGGTTATGGAGAGTGATGAGACACTGGTAGACGCGCAGTGAATGTCCATCGGATATCCAACTTAAAACCAACTTCACCGCGATATTTACATGAACGAACATTTGTTGTCTCGGCTGATTTTTTTGATGAGCACATGAGCCCCTGTGACATTAAAAAAGTCTGGCTTTTTGCATTGATACATTTAGACCGTGCAGTTCAAGTCAGGAAAACTCATGTGAGAGGGGGCTTAAAAAGCAGCATAATTGCCAGGAAAAAGAAAAGGGTGTTCCTTGTAAATCCTAAAATCAGTCAAGCTGCCTGTCATCACAGTAAACATCATACGGATCTAATATATTCTCTGCTTATGAGCGAAAATTATATGCTGGAAAAACTGAAGTGGACATGAAAACCTAAAAAAAAAAACCCTCTTATTCATATGCATCAGACTCATTTTTAACAGCCAATCAAATACTCTGAAAACTCTGCACTGTGTATCACTGCATGACTAGATACCTAAACACAAGATGTGTCTTAACACTTTGTTAATGAAAAGTATTGTGCTACGGTTTTCGAAGATGTTTCGTCTTATCTCACAACTTTTAAGATGAAGTAATGTGCGATTGATGTCCTCACCAAACAAATGCAGGTTGACACATAAATAAACCCAAAGCCAAGAAAACAAACCCTGATCTACCATCTACCTCATCTTTTCCTCCCTGCAGAATGAAAGCAAGCTTTAAACTCGAAAAAAAAGCAATTTTGCCACAGAGACAAGGACATAAATCGTACATCATTACATCACTCATGCCCACTGCTGCCACCATATATCATCCCTCTTGTTAGGTGACTCATTCCTTTCTTCAGCTCCTTTTCTCGGACTTTCTTCCGACAGCTCCTCTCTTTCTCTCACTGAAGGAAAGAAATGGACAGAGTAACTGTTGTTTTTCCCCTGTCATTCACATGGAAATCCTAATCTCTCTTTAAAAGGGAGGAAGACAGGGAGAGTGAAGGGGTGGGAGTGTGTGGGCTGGTGGTGAGGAAGACTGGGTGCAGCACAGGGCGAAGAAGAAATTAAGATGGGAAGATTAATAAGGATGGCTGACACACAAAGATACTTTCATTTTACACAACAAAAAAACCTAAATTATAACATTACCTATAAATTAGCCCTCTTTATAAATGAAATAGATCTATTACAGCTAACTTGATATATTTACGAATTCTCTTAAGGTTTCTGTTTCTTGATAGTTTAGGTACAATCTGGCAAATATTAGAAAATCATGGTCAATATATCAAAAGCTTCCCCCTCACAACTTTCTCTTCAATTAGAAATACTGATGAGAAGCAAAGGTTCTTTTAAAGCAGTGGTTCTCAAGTCCAGTCCTCGAGCACACCTGATTCAAATGATCAGCTCGTTATCAAGCCATTCCAGAGCTTGATAACGAGCTGATCATTTGAATCAGGTGTGCTCGAGGACTGGACTTGAGAACCACTGCTTTAAAGGAAGCACATTAAGCCAGAAATATCATTTTCATGTTTATGAGTTATGGTAATGGATTAATGTTTGCATCATATTAAGATCTTGTCCTGCGTAACAGATCCATCTCATCAATCCGTGGAGAGCTGGTACCGTATATGGTCCGAAAGCAGTTTTCCAAATCAACCACGGGTCAGAAAATCAAAGAGGATGCAGAAGAACAGAACCAGAAGAAGACTGACAACTCTACAAACCACGGTCAGTGTTTCAAAACACATCACAAGTCCACAGAGAAGAACAGCGATATAACAGCCGCTGTAGATGAATGTTAAAATAGACTTTAAAAGCAAAGTGGCAAGTTAAACCCAGCATTTTAACTCTGGTATTCCTGTTTCTCTTCCTGTCTCGTCTCATCGCCAGAGCTCCTCATTTCATCTCGAGACGAGCCTCTCCTCCAGCTGGCCCAGGAACGCTCATGTTGGAACGACCACCGCGGTGACATGAGCGAGGCTTACCATGGAGGGAAACTGCGCTGCTACGTTCACATTATGGAACAGGGTCTCTGCTACCGTGTCAACACTTTAGCGGCTTACATCGACGCAAATAGACTGGTGAGTCAGACATTAGCCTGCCCCTTTAAAAGTTTTGGAAATCTACTTTTTTAGATCATGTTCAATGTTTACTTTTAACATTAAACACACCCTTCAAGAGCCATAAATGCTATGTGAAGATGTCCTCCTGAATTTTTATATCAGCTTACCCTGGCTTCATTGCAAGAAAACCTAAATACTCCTGGAGTTTAATTTTCCACTGTTTGGGTTCATATACGCAGCTCGCACCTGAAAAATTTGTGCTAATTCTCTGAGGGTTCGTGCATGTGTGAACACAGCTTTAACCGTGGTTATCTTCAAGTTTTGGAATGTTAATTGGTCAAAAAACACAATGCAGACATCTCTCTTTATTTTTATCATCTCTTTAGCCATGTCATAAACGATTAATCTATTCATTAACTTGCTAATTGCTCATTACGGATAATTAGTTATTTAAAAATATTGAGATAATTGTCCCTTAACTCAATTGTTCTTTTAAATGATACAGTTTTCATGCTGCCTATTGTATTGAGTCTATTAAAGGTTCAGAAGCACTGCTGTGACCATGTATTGATAACATGCAGGTGCTCTTTGAATATTTAAGGCCTCATGGGTGAAAAGTGAAAACTGCAACAGTCCTTCAAAAAAAGGGTCCGAAGCACATGAGTAGATATGATATGAGTAGACGTAATATGCCTTTATTTCACGTGGTGAATACTGATTGTTATATTGGGACAAGGCAAGTGCTAAAATAACCTTCGTAGATGTAGCCATCTTGTGTCTGTCTCCGATTTTGCTTTTTTCCGACTTGAAACTCTGTTAACTCGGGTGTAACATCATATTCAGCTCCGACATCTGAGTTATGAGGTAACTCGAATGCAGCATTAGTTATTTAATTCTTTCCCTATCATTAAAAGACCATTTAATTACTCTCCTTTTTTTACTTATAGGCCCCGAAACTCTTTGAAGAGCCAGCAGTCCACCCATCAGCCGTCATCTCTGAGAGGTGTCAGGTAAATAATAAACACTTTGTAGGATCACGAGCCCGTCTGAAAGTGATGATTACATGCTTCATGTTCCTGTTTTGAGACTTTTGCCACTTCTTAAGCAGTTTTACCATCTTTACTGAAACACAGCCCACACCCAAAGTCAGATTTGCACCCCTCCATCCCTTGAGAGGCATGCGTGTGCGTTTGTGTGTGTCTGAATGTTTGTGTGTGTGTCTGCTCTGCCCTCAGATGGGATCAGACAGCATCATCGGAGCGCTGTGTCAGGTTGCAGATAAGACCTCCATAAAGAGATCCACCATCGGGAATTCAACCAGCATCAAAGAGAAGGTCAAAGTCGCAAACTCCATCATCATGCACGGGGTTACCGTCGAGGAGGGGTGAGAAAACACACACACACACACACAAACGTGCATGCACTTGTTGACTACATCTACTTTGAAGTGCATTTTCCAAAACACTAATTACACTTATAAAAGAATTTCACCTCCCAGGCATGTTTATGAATCAAAGTTTTGATGCCCATGTGGCTCATGGCTTTTGTTAGAAGTTAAGTCAGCACAGGCTTACAAAGCAGAGGAATTTACCAAACAAAGATCGAAGAAAAGGAGTGATCTTGTAGGAAAACTCTTGCACTAAATATGATTCATCTACATCCAATACTTTTCACAGTTTCTCCAGATTCGCTCACTTTTTTGCACACACAATCAGCATTTTTGTCCACATCTCGGGAATGAATCTTCTTTGGTTCTCTTACGCGCAAAGATGTGTGTGTGTGTGTGTGTTTGTGTGTGTGCTCGCCGGCCGATGCTGCGTAGATGTGTGTGTCCATTGATGGGAGGTGTAACAGGTTTTTGTTTTCTGGGCTCTATGGGGTCAAACAGGGAGCGCCGCGTTAACAATGCATCTATTGGTGTGCAACCAGCCAGAGATCAGTTCCAAACAAACACACAGCTACTGAAGTGAAACACACAACATCCATATATTTCATTTAGCAGCTAATTTACTCGCCCATACCCAAGCCCCCACTGGTTATGGAATTTAAGATCACTGTGGGGGCCTGAGAGGTAGAGCCGTGACAGCGTAAGTCTGGGGGATTTGATAACTCTGTGTGGAAGTTGTGCCTTTATTACCTCCGCCAAGGAGGTTATGTTTTCAGTAGTGTTGGTTGGTTTGTTTGTTTGTTTGTGAGTTTGTTTGTCTGTTAGCAACTTTACGGAGAAAGTAACAGACATATTGACCTGAAATTTTCACCAGAGGTGCGTCTCAGCCCCAGGAGGATCCCATTAAATTTTGTTGGTGACCCAGAACACACAAAAATAAGGGTGTTGTTGGAATTTTCAATGCTAAACGATAACCAATGGGCGGCACAGTGGTGTAGATAGGCGGCACAGTGGTGTCGTGGTTTGTCATGATCGTGTTCAAACCGCCTGATTTCTTGCGTCAAAAAAAGAAGAGTGTCTCGAGCTACTGTAGGATTAACATGTAGATTGATCTGCTCAGTGTCGTAGCCAGAAACTCCACTGGAAACAGACTCATCTCGGTCTTAAGTTTGGATTTTAATGCACTCATTCATTCACAAGCTCCTTTTCTTTTATCTCATTATCTTACTCCTCCCTCTCTTCTCTCTCCATCAAGGCCTCGACGCCATGTCTCTCCTCTCTCTCTCTCTCTTTCTCTCACTTTGTCTCTCTCTATCTCTTCCTCTCTTAAGCCTTTCAGGGACCCCAGCCAGCATGGGGACCCTCATCATGCCCATGTAGGTGCACGCACAAAGGCATGAAAGAACGAGAGAGACTGGAGAAGGGAAGAAAGAAGCGAAGGGGAAAGCAAGCTAGCACGCAAGAAAGAAATTGCAATTCTTTCTTTTCTTTCTTTCCTTTTTTTTTTTTTTTTTTTTTTTTTTTTGGAGGACATAAGAAGGAAGGAGAAAGAAGGAAAGAAAGAGCCAGTGTGAGCGGATTAGCAGACCCCGGCCATGTCGCAGAAACCCCTCGCATTTCTGCTTTCTTTGTTTGGAGCTGACCAGAACTTGTTGACAAAGCGCTGCGTGTTTGGGAAGGGGGATAGTAGGGGTCAACTTTACAGGGGGGGGTTGGCACAGGAGGTGGGGGTTGACGTGTGTTAGAGTGTGTGTGTGTGTTTGGGGGTGGGTGTGTGTGTGTGGGGGGGGTCATGGCAAGGAGGAGCCCTGGTGTTAGTAATTAGTGGTGTTTCAGTGCTGAGGCTTCTTTGGTGGTCTCTCTCTCCCTCTCTTTCTCTCACTCTCTCACTAATGTTACAAAACTTTGAATCTTGTAATCTCCCATCACCAACTACCACCACCGCCACCTCCTAGGTAGTTACTTACACACACACACACACGTGCTCACACACACACACTCATTCCTCGCTCTCCCTGCAGGCCTAACCACCTGAATAGAATGAGCCAACACAAACCTGTCTGTGTGTGAGGCGCTGAGGGCCAAGCGTGTGTGCGTCACTGCCCGGGCAAAACCGACATGTGTTCTCCAGCGGGTTCTCTGAGCTACTGAAACAAACGTTGTCTTACCCACACACACACACACGCGCACACACACACACGTCCTCCACGGTCAGCCAACACAGGACACACTGTCTGTGTCAAGACTGTCTGTGTCTCCTCTCCAAGAATTTTATGGTGATGGTTTGGCTGAATGCAAGCATGCTCGGTGGGTTGGCACTGCCGGCTCAGGTGTAGCGCAGCCAACAATGTCTTAACACACACACACGCGCGCACGTAGGCGCACACACACGTGGAAACAGCTTGGAGCGCTGCTGTTCTTTAATATAAATGCTAATGGTGTGTCATTAAGTCCAGTTGATTGGATGTGTTTGAGTCCTCCGAGCAGGTGGGAGGATTCCTGATGGGGAGACAGGCTGAATGTAGCTTCTGTCAGTGGAAGCTCCACTTGCTCTGGGAGCTCAACAGTGGGAAGCTGTGGCCGCACTGGGCTGCTCCCAGTATGTATGAGTGTGTACAGAAGGTACGAGGTAGAAAACAGAATGTGAGCCATAAACATGTTTTGAATCTCCAGCAGGGTCAAAGCATAAACAGCACAGTCGGAAAATCCTGTTTCCACCAAACCGAGCTGATCCCGACTAAATATTACTCTTTAATTACTTCAGAGTTCATAAAGGATCAGTCGGCGGCAGAAATGAGCCAGTGGTTCACCATTTTTAGGTCTGTGTGAAGTAATTGATGTTTTGGGATGTGAAGATTTCCTTATTGATCAACCAGTTTGATTATTTCCCCCCCTGGGCTAAGAGTTTGGTCAGCCCGTCAAGAAAACAAACTCAATGTGAATCAAAGCAGGATGGACAAGGTTGATTTGTGTGAATTTTAAATGAATTTATGTCTACCTGATTAACTGTAGTAGGGCTGGGTGATATGGCCTCAAATCAATATCACAATATATTGAGCAGTTCACCTCGTCAACGATAAATAGACAATAACTACTCCACAAGCTGCTCACCCCCTCCCACATTTACTTCGTCTACTTGTCGCTCCAGTCGCAACAACTTTTGAACCGTCCTCCATCTCCTCACCTGTCTTTCCCTCTTTGTCACGATGTAGGACAGCGTCTTATAGGAACATGAAACTATAGCCTACCTACACACAACCAAAACCAATTTTTTTGTATTTTTTTATTTATGTATTTTTTGACACAAATATACCGATATGGGCAAAATGACGTCAGTTATTGAGGTAAATTTTGGTATCTGTAAATTTTCGGTTTATCACCCAGCCCTAAACTGTAGCCTACAGTATAGGACCTGGTGGCTTTGCTTTTCACTGTAAACACACCCTCCTGTGTTCCCACATTACTGGGCATGACCTCAGTATCAACATGAGCGATTTTTCTTCTCAAGATGCTTGAACTGAAGAATTTTTTTGTGGCTTAAATAGCTGGAAGTAGAAGCTATTTCATGGGAAAGTAAAACGATCACAAAATACGAACAGGTTAAGCGTGGAAATAGAGCTAAGATGAACCGTCACATTTGTTTCTCTCTCCACAGGGAGTCCTGACACCCCCCGGAGGTTGAGACCACCGCTGTAAAAACAGTGTAAAAGTTTCTTGTGCTTCATGTTATTTTTGTGTGATCCCCAGGTGTAATATCCAGGGCAGCGTGATCTGCAGCAATGCTGTGATTGGACGAGGAGCAGACCTCAAATACTGTCTGGTGGGGAACGGGCAACGGATCGAACCAGAGAGTGAGAACCAACCACATAAATACACGAACCACTTATTTTGAAGGTCCTCTGATTGTAGGTGAAGTCGAGGGAAATTTCTGTGTTTCAGCTTCTAACAAACAAGGGTCGTACATTTGCATCCCCAAATTAAATCATCTTATACTCTCAAAGAAAACCAAAACTTAATGTACTGTTGCTGCTTTTGTGTCCTCCTGCATTTCTACTCGGCTGACTCAGATAAGGTGTTGTGTGTGTGTGTTTGCGTGCGTCTGTGTGTGTGTGTGTGTGGTATCTGTAAGTGCCAAGATTTTAAGCCAACCAGGAAAGTTTCTTAATTCTGAAGTCTGTGTGATAGAGAGATTTGTCAGAGTTTCTTTTTTTTTTTATTTCTCTAATCCTCTTGTCCCCAAAGCTCGCCTTGTGTATGTGTGTATGTGTGTCTGTGTGTGTGTATGTGTATGTGTATGTGCGTGTCACATTGATGGAGAGGTTAGAGAGCAGGGCCAGAACAGGACCACCCGGAATTCAACAGCAGCAGCCCTGCAGCCACATCCAGCACGCACAGACACACACACACACACGGACACACATACATATAAAGAAAGAGAACAAGCTCTGCTTCCAGGCTGAGCAGCCTAATTGAGAGAACAACAGGGTGCTCTAAGTAACAAAAGTGTGAATTTGAGCTAAACTCGCCTAAAAATGTTTGAAACTGTTGAGGCCTTTATGGAGCGTCAATTGAGCGATTTCTGCGACAAAACTGATCTCGCTTCACGTATTATTATAACTTTTTTTTTTTACTGTTGCCCGACTGGCCTGAAATGTGCTTCTTTTGTCGGGTTATTGAAGACTGGAAACTTGGAATTGCATCATTGGTTTGCATACACTGTAAAGCTAAAGTTCATTTGCACAGATACAAAGTTCTGGATAATATGTCTCCAATGGGCTGACAATTCCCGGATCCCTCTCAATTCCCGTTTTATTGTCATATTCTGATATTTGTTATGATTTGATTAAAGGCAGTACTCCTCATTTAACATTTAAAGATGATTTACCCGGTAAAGTTTATAAGAAAAGCACACACAAAAAATCCTCTAAAGAGAGTTTTGTGTGTAGCTTGCAACTTACTGTTATCGTCTGTATGAAAACAGACAAGGCTGTTGTACGTTGACCACTGATATAACTGTATGAATAGTATCTTGAATCTCTAACATACACTTATACTCAACAAGGCAACCATCTGAGGCGCTAAAGGAAAGAGAAATCATCTTAAAAAAAGGGAGTCGGCACTGTTTATCATCAGAAATTTCAAGTCGTCTTTTGTCCTCTGCTTTGAAATTTTCACCTCAATAGTTTGTGGTGAAATTCGGCAGTTTATCCATCACATTAAAGTGATTTATGTCATGTATCGCACTGATTTTTAAAGCTTCCTTTATAAGTGTAAGAAAGCACTGTATTGTCTCTTGCCAATCAAGCTGTTTAACCTTAGGCTGCTAAAGACATTACACACCCACTGCTGAGCCTGTTAGCAGCTAAGGACCACCCTGCCAGTCAGCCACACACACACACACACACACACACACACACACACACACACACACACACACACAAACACACACACACATAAATGCATGTCTGACAGGCGTTCATATTTAAAAGCTAAAGATTCTTGAAAATTATATATACAGTCACTGTTACTTCGAGACTTCCTCCACTGTCTCCGTCACTCAAAGATGGCGTTATCTTCTTGTCATATTCACAAAGATGGACTTAGTTGCTTTATTTCTCCATCATTTGTTCACTCTTACCATTGCTCACCTTGGTAAAGACACTTCTAAATACAGGCCTAATAAATTTAAGCACTTTTAAGTCACAGATGAATCAATAGATCCAAATTCAGAAACCATTCCTCCCCTTCGCTCCAGTCCCTCCCTCTCCTGCTATCCCATGCTCCATTTGTGCTCCCCTCTCCACACAGCAGAGCATAAACTCATTTTGAGCAACAGATTCCTTCACACCAAAACCTGTCTGTGTGGACGGAACATTTCTCTCTGCCACCGTTTGCTTTGGATCAGCACAGATGCTCACAGATGGAGAGATGGAGGGATGTAGGGAGGAGCAGCAGCAGCAGCAGTATGTTGAACGGGCTTTGGGTTTGAAGGAGAAGGCAGGAAAATGCTGGCAGGCTGAGCTGTAGCGGTCGGAGTGACCTAAGATTTCCCATATTGAACATTGAGGGACTGATTTCAAACATATAAATGCTCAGTGCACAGTGGGTATTCTAGCAGCTGCCAATCTACTACAAATCTTATACGCTCATATACCTGCCAGACGGCCATTGTTGTCCTTCCATCTCACTATGGATTCAAAGTTAGTATGCAGAGATATCTCATGAGTATTCAGTCCAAATGAAAACTCAACTTTTTGGGCAAAAGTATATGTCTCCAGAGCAAGACAAGAACTCTCCTTAGTGATGTAACACATGATGATTAACAACAATCATCAAATGCCAGAAACAACCATATTTTACAAATGTTTTCTACCACATTCACATTTGCTCATGCTTTATCTTGTAGATGAGCTTTAGGTGACCAAGAAGTAAAAACACAGCACATTAACACCTTTAAAGGTCCTGGGACCGACGCAAATATACTATACGAAATTACGAAATATTTAGAGGCGAATTTTGACGCGCCTGACTATGCACATCACGCCCGATGCGATTTTGCGACTTTCCGGGGGCAAAAAAGACACGTCCCGGGTGGAAGCGAGAAGACTGACACAACAACAGACTGACTGTTTTCAGTTCTTATTAGACACTAGTGTTGAGATTCTGTCATGATAGCATTTACTGAGTCGGGGCCAGTCCCAGATAAGCACATTAAACTATAATCCATAAACCGAGACCTAATGGTGATGTGACAGCAACGTGATTGAGTTTGAGACAGTAAAAATACATATGGTATGTTGTATCTGAACAGGTTAGCTTACGAGCTTAAGTTACTTAGCACAGATGAAAGTTAAAACAAAGACGTTTAGCAAACTGTTAAAGCACACAAACTATCGTCATATGAGAGATCCGACGCTTTGACTCTCCAGAAGTTGTCCTTCAGGTCATTATCTTTGTTATGTTTGTGTCTTTTATCAAAAAGCACTCTGTTCTCCGACACATTAAGAATCAGCCGGTCGGCCATGTTGGATATACTGGTGAATCAAACGTCTCAACAATACGAAATCTGATTGGTCAGAAGTGGACACATAGTATGCGAAACTTTGAAAAAATCGGCCGTGATCTGAAAAAATAACTGCCGCAATATCGCAGGACGGGAAAACATCACTGATGTGAACGCTTGTATTGACAGGATATGGGTTCCAAAAAATGTTGACGTCCGAAATAATCACACACACAAAAAAAAACGGTTCTGGTGTGTAAGGACCTTAAGAGTAAAACTCCATGGAGTTGATGGGAGAAGTATCAACGTGTTGTTGAAAAATGAATCTAAAGTGAAGCGTCCATTCGAGGTGGTCCTCAAAAGCAAAATCTCTCTAAAAAAAGCTTAAAAGATGATTTTTTTATTCAACAAATGACTTGCAAAATGTCAAAGTGTGGTGACAGAGTAGGATCGTCGCTGACCTTTTTCACGTAATCCAAACAGAAGACACATTTCAGCGTCATAAATCGGTGGATATGGTGGACATTAGTGGCCGCTTGGTTTTAGGATCTAATCTGTGTCGTTTTGTTGTTTATTTTTATCTATGTGTTGAAGTAAAACACCAGTTAAAATGTTTGGGGTTTAAAAGTTTTAAGAAGGAACTTAAATAATGGACCAAATCAGTTTACCCAACTGTTGAACCCTCAGACAGACGTCAAACTTACAAACTTACAAACTCATTTCAGAACACCAGAGATTTTTCACCCAAACTGAACACCTGCCTGCAGTGATTCATAAAAATGTTTCCGCTCTTTTTCCTCAGCCGAGAGGACTAATGAGGTCATCGTAGGAACGGACCAGCTGATGGAGATCTAGGTCCCATGAGAAGGAATGGCGTCAATTCACTAACCAATCAGAGAGCAGCACCGCACACAGGATGACCAACTCACTGGCTGACTAACCAATCAGAAGCCTGGATGCTGCTCGAAGGTTCTAAGTTATCTTCTCATACACTTTTTGTACATTGTGTCCAAATAAAAATAAGTGCTTTAACCCACACTTCAGTGTTATGTTTTTTATGGTCATTTTTTTATAGTTTTATTTTAAATTAAACAAAATCAGGAGGTTAAGTTTGTTTTTAAAGGAATCAGTCGTGTAATCGGGATTCATCAGCTGACTTTAATCATAGTTTTCCCACACTTGTCATTGTCCGATTGTTCCTGACACCTAATCGCGGGTCTTAATTAATCTCTTTCTCCTGTTTGAGTAGGGGGGAGCACGGACTCATACACGTCTGAATATGCACATCTGTTTACACGTGCACATTGTGCAGCTGTGAGTACCAAAGATGAAGAAAAAAAGCAGTGGGAGGGTTGACCACAATGGCGTGGGGGTTAAGTTTATTTGTACACAAAAATGGTGTATGTGCAGGCGGTGGACCACCCAGCTTGATCTTGTATCAGTTAACACCGACACCCCGCCCTCATACCCTCTCACACTCACACGGCAGAGCAGGAAGCTGACTCGCGCCTGACACTTTTCTCTCTTTTTTCTCCTCTTCTTTCCCTCTCCGCTGCCTTTGCTGTCACAAGATTTATTGCATTCCTCCGGCAGAGCATTTCTTAAATTACAGGTTTGAAGTTCCTGAGTCACGAAGAAAGAGGACGAGGAAGGGGATGGCTGTCTGTGGGGGGGGGACTTTAGTGTATGTCTGTGATTTAGGGTCCTCTGTTTCTTATTGTGTCTGTGGCCTTGCAGGAGTCATGTAGACTGTCTCTTGTGGCCTGATTATGTGATGTTTCTGTGTGAGTGCGTGTACGTGTGCGTGAGTGACTGAGAGATTATAATGTCATGTTGTCTACCTCCTCTTTTATTGACTTGATGGCTATTTTGTGTGGTTGTTATTTACGTAATCATATAATTTGTCTTTCATCTGGTCATTTGGATGATATACTCTTTCTAGACTTGTATCACAATAATTTAACGGGACATAAAGTCTATTTAAATGTTCCTTTTGAAACTACACCATGCTTTCCTAACGTCCTTTTACGTAAAGCACATTACTTAAATCGTGTTTTTCTTGTTTTCTACATATTCATATGGCTTTTTTCTGATGCTACAGGACATATCATGAGAAAACTAAATGCGAAATTGCTTTTTTGAGTATTTCTTCGTTCAAATCTCGGTGAATCTCTGGCAGACCCAAACGCCAGGTTCAGAAACATTGAGATTTTATACGTAACTAATCCATGTTCCACCCCCAGAGCCCTGCTATGAAGACCACACTCTGCATATAGAGGAAAAAATACAGAGGACGATCACAGAACAAGCGTGTGCGTTAGCAGACTGCTAATGAGCTACTGGGATTGAAAATGACACAGGTAATGTGATTTTGGCTAAAAATTTCATAATCAAAACAATTTCAAGATCACCGAGAACACTTTAAGTAGTAAAAAAAAAACATCGGAGTCGGACTTTAAGATCATAACATTTCAAAACTGAAATATTAAGTATATTGTTAAATTAAATTAAATTTGAATTTCTCTTAGGCCGTGTTCACACCTAAAGGTCAGTTTCCTGATTCGAATCCAAGGCAAGACGATACATTTGTTTTGATTGTTGAACTGGTCCGGTCTGTGTTCAAAAAGGACAAACTCAATCGCCCCAGAAAACGGAACCAGAACCGCGAATATCGTTTGGTTATTGGTCATTAGTTTATGTGGGAATACAAACCCCGCTCTGCTGTCTTCGTCCGTCATGGAGCATCGTAGGCTGATTTTGCTTTTGCTACTCATCTGGAGCACGTATCAAAAGACACTAGTCGATCACGCATATGAACGGCTCACACTTCAATTAATATATTCCGGAGTAGACGTGCTGCAAACAACAGACAGATAAAGACGAGACGGCGACAGGCATTAATGACGTGTGTGGTGCGTTTCCTGTGATTGGTGTGGATGACGTTCACACCAGAAATGAACCGCTTCAGAGTTCACTTGATAACGGTCCGAGACCACCTCTTCATGCGGACCAGAGTTCGAGGTCAGCATTCACACCGACCCAAATTAACCGCACCATGGAGGTAAACGCTCCAAGGTTCGGATCAACCAGACTAAACGAGAGTGGTGTGAACGCGCCCTTAGTTTCACTTAAACTTTTTCAACACATTCACTTAGTAATTCTTTATGATTACTTATGTGCATGATTAAAGGAAAAGACTATTGTCTGTCTAACTTAAGATATATAACACATTAAAACCAAGCAGTCTGCTCTGTTCTAAGCCAAAGTGCTTTTTTTTTAACCATAGATGACAATAGCCTATTGTAAATAGAACTAGTGTAACATTGAACACAATTTAGTATGATTCAAACAATGTTTTTGGAAGGAACTTAATTTTAGGATATCCAAGACTCCTTGATTACACATAAATCTCAGCTGTTCACTCTGGATGAATAAAGGAAACTTAAATAAAATTCAGTTCGTACTATAAAGAAAAATATTTTCCCACAGCATGATGCAGGAAGTTCAAAATGTTTACAGTGTCTACATCTAGACTGTGTATTAGTCAGACATCTTTAATATTCATCCGCCATCCACAGATTCTTTCTATAACTTTCCTCCAATCCTTATAGTCAATTCAATCATGTCAATTTAATCCAGTGGTACTTTTTTTTGGTCTCCACCCGCGCCACCTTTATCATGCACATCCTCACCAGAGCCAATTCTCAAACATGAACCTTGTCTGCAAAAAAAAGAAGTTCAACTCAGGCAAATAAGTTGTTATATTTGTTTATTTTCTGTCCATTTTTTGACTTGAACAAGTGCAGTGGAACAAACATGATCCTTCTAACGACTTGAGAAAAGTTCAGATTTCAGATATGAATTATACACTTGTTTCAAAAAGGAGAAGTAACCTTTCATCAGTCTGGTTTCCTTTCAAGAAAACTCTATAAATATAGATCTGTGATTGAAAAGATAAACTGCTACAGAAACAAGCGTCCTTCGCAGCATTTTCAGCCACACCACAGAATTGTCTTTTCTGTGTGTTTACAGCAGATGTGGCTTCAGCTCGCAGACTGAAATTCTTCAAAGTTCAGTACTTTTCCATTCTCCTTGTCATACCTGTGTTCATCTTCCTGTTGCGCTGGATACAGACTCCACTCTCTAATGCTTTTACTTTTTGCTCCATTTTTACTTTTTCACTTTGACGTTTTTTCCTTCACATTTTTTTTAAGTAAATGATGAGTTGTTTTTCTAGGTGCTCTGAACTCTGAACACTGTGTGCTCCATTTAATAGATACCTTATTTTCCTTCACTTCTTCGACTTTTTATTGTGAATTTGAGTCTCAAAGAAGAAGACGGTTTCTCAGAGTTTTGCATCCTGGTGTTTAATTTTCTTCATTCAGTGACAGAGGCGAAACATGACAGTTGGCTCCTGAGTTTGTAAAAATTTTATAAACCACAGCTAAGGCCGACCATGTCTGTGCTCTTTGTCTCGGCTGTGTTAACCTTTTTAGCGCTCTCACACTCTGACCTCTCTTTTCAACCACATGATGAGATCTGGCAGCCGGGTGTGTTTGGGTAAAGGTTTGTATATTTATACAAAGACCCCTGAGTCCCCTCAATACAACGCCACTATGGCTGAGCCCACCTCCCATCACATGCATGTGTTTGCTGCAGTGTGTGCATGCACATGCTTACCTGTGTGTGTGTGTGTGTGTGACAGAGACTAGTTAATCCTCTGTCATACAAGCTAATCAACGCTGTCTCACACCCTGCTGAGTAAACGCATGCATGCATACACAAATGTGCATGTTTACTCTGCAGATGTGGAGATCAGATGTCGAGACATATGTCCAGCTGTCATCTGCTGTAGTTCTGTGGATATTTGGACATTTCTTGAAAAATTGTATTTTTTTCATCAAGTAACCTACCACTTTAAATGCCCTTACAAATCTGCATTAACATTCTTAAATTGGCTTCATACTGCCATGTCAAAATAGGAGCAATGACAGCATATTTCTCCACCTCTGTGGTGCTTTCTTGCTTGCTTGTGTCGGTGTAGTTTCCTTGTGTGTTTGCGGACTGAATCACGACGATATCACTTACTAAGAACAGTAATCTAGAAGTTGACAGAAGTTTGGAGATTGAAATGCTTGTACATATCAAATGTTTTTTTTTTCCTAGTCTGGGAATGGACCCAAAGCAGATTGTAAGAATTGTAAGTGATTGTCAATCTTTGATCGTTTCAGTCAAGATTAACGCTTCATATGACATTTGTGGACATCTTGATACAGTCTTGATGGTTGATAAGTCATACACAAGTTTATTTTCACAGTAGCAACAAATATTTTATCAGATACAGCTAAGTGAGAAGGCTGTCGGAGGCAAATGGTGCAAAGTTTGTCAAGGTGTTTTACCTTTACATATAAAGGTATAGTAAGTGACATTGCCTCGGTCAAATTAAAGTGTTTGTCTTTCACAAGAACTTTTAATAACATCAATCGCCAGTCCACTTCTAGGACTCTTAGAGGTCGAGATAAAAACTGTCCAAAGTAAAGTCTGCAAACTCCTAACAAATCTAGGATGTGAGAACCGGATGACGAACCGACCAAAACAACACAGTTGTAAAAGAGCTGGTATTTCTTTAAGTGTTTTCCCATCATGTGAAACAAACATCAACCCGTCAAGCACTGCCTTCTAATTGTTTGTTTGTATAAATCTAAACCAACTTAGACATCGCTCCCAAAATGAACAGATGTATATATAAGATTAAAATGGAGGAATTTCCAAAGTCTCCAAGGATAACACACATGTCATGCTGGAATTTGTGGGAATTTGAGTGCAAAATTATGCAGAAGACGTCTGCAATAGTCCTATATGATGGAAGGACGCAGCCACAAGAATGTGAAGTAATGGGTTAGACTGAGTGTAACTGACATGTAGTTTCAAACATGTAATGAGGATGTTAAATCGTTTTTTAACATGTTGAAAAATTCTTTGCTTCCACATAATTCAAAGTGGTCAAATCTAAAAATTAAAATCCTAAGGCATAGCTCTGGGTTGATAAAGGTTGGATGATGAAGATAAATGTGTAATAGGTGAGGTACAGCTCTTGGTTATTTTTTTTTCTTGGGGGGATGTGGGGGGTGGGGGCATGCCTGAGTAGCTGGGTGGCTTCATGGCTTGAGGGCTGATCGTGGGTGAGCAAAGGAGAGAGAGAGGGAGAGAGAGAGCAAGCAGGCCACCCAAGTGGCAGTCAGTCAGAAACCTGTGTGTGTGTGTGTGTGTTTGCTGCTGACCCCTACACATTAGCACAACACTTCCTCAATTTGTCTTCTGTGTTCTCCGGCCACAAATGAATTTCCTCCCTCCCTTTTTTTTCCGCACACTACCTTTCAAGATGCTACACCCCCCCCCACCCGACACACACAGACACACACAGCACCCCATCTCCAACTTAAACACGTGAATACATACACACACAAACAGTCTTTTTCACAAGCTTTAGAGATACAACACTTGCTTATGTTGCCACGCCAACAAAAAGACACAGATCTCGTGTGTGGGATAACAACCCCGGTGACACACAGAGACACACTGAGCCAATATCTGTGTCTGTCACTTTGGAGGCCCTGGCTAATTAACTAAACATTGACTGGGTGGTAGGTGGGATCTGAGCTTAAATTGCTTTTGCAATAAAAATGACAGGAGGAAGAAAACAGCCAACCTGAGTGACCTGGCTAGAACTACAAACAGAACCAGGATTATACTCCATTAAATTAACCTTTTCTGTCTTTTTTCAGAGACGTTTTTATAGCAACCTCTCCTCTGTTGATGATTATTTCAGTTCAGTTTCTCAGCAACTCTTGTTTTGAGCATCACAGTGAGATATTTTCACATTAACTCTGATGGCATTTATGAAAATCTGCACCATTTCTGCCCTCTTAGATCACATATTTCAGCGTATAAACACACGCAGTAGTGAGGCGCCGCTCTTTCTTTTAGAGCCACAGGTCCGAGTTTGCGTCACCACCTGCTAGCTGTGTCTGACAATACCTCTGTTACAAGCGCACAAACAAAGACTTAAAGAAAAGTGTGTTTCTCTGTCTCTCTCTCTCTCTGTGTTTTGTGTGTTTTTCCCTCAAAAAGGCAACCATTCATTACGATGACAAAGGGCTAAAGAAATGCATTATCATAATTAATCTTGTGCGAGTCTGTGGGTGGCAGCTTCAGAGACTGACAGAGGAACTCAATGCACAGTGTCGCTCTGCTACTGGGCAACTTTTTGGCTTTCTTTTATCCTGCTGATGTAAAAAAAAAAAATGCAATTATAGTTTAGAGACATCTAATAGGTTTTGCCAATAAAAATCTCCCACTGAGCATTTTTTGGTCTAAAAGAGGTCTAAATGTAGACGAGACGACGTCAAAAATCAGGCTACCACAGGTCTAAAAATAAAAGGTTTTTAGATGTCTAAATTTTGACCAAGTTTAGCTATGTCTATACTACACTGTAAATTGCTCAACGGCTATTATAATTATTTTGGTTAAGTACTTGGGGATTAGTTATGCAACTCACAGTTGCTTTTTGAAATAAATAGCGAGTAATGGGTTAAAGTGCAACGTCTAAAAGTATACAGAATCTAGACGGTTGAAATTAGGTCTAAAAAAACTAGATGTCTAATAGCCGTCCATTGCTCAGTGGGCTAAGAGGACTCTGTGAACTTTGCATCAAACACCCCAAAAAAGTTTGATGCCTGGGGGTTTCGATTTATCTAGAGTGTGCTGTTTATTTTCTCTTATCATTAATTCGCATGGTTATTTGTGTTTATCAATTAGCTTTGTTTGTCTTGTCTGTCGGCCCAAAGTCAAATATTCTGTCTGGTTATCAGAAATGGCTTTTTGTTCATTTGGATAGACTTCAACCAGATATGTGTTTGTGATTTTGTCTTTTTTTGTTTCCTTTTGACTGTTTTCAGCTTGTTTGTATAATGGAAATACTGTAATTTCCCCCACACGTAGATAAGTATACAGAGAGTAATAAAAGGGTAAAAA